GTGTGCATAAGCTGATCTTCTATTTTCTTAGCCTCTTCTTGCATTCCATCAGACTGATAATTCTCATATAGTTTGAGTCATCCACTGTGATTTAATGGTTACTTGTGTGCACAAATTTTTGGAGGTAAAAGTAAAGTCTTACAATGTCTATTGATTATTCTATAAAGCATTTATCCATTCTGTTATTACAACACCACCTTTACACCATCTTATGATTAACATGATTTTAAATGGAGTTCAGGTTCATGGAGCCACTTATATCAAGCGTTCCTATGATGGTCATTGAAGGGAATCATGAGATTGAACCTCAAGGTTCTGGGATAACTTTCAAATCATATTTGACGAGATTTGCAGTTCCGTCAGAAGAGTCTGGCTCTAACAGCAACTTCTACTATTCATTTGATGCTGGGGGCATACATTTTATAATGTTAGGAGCATATGTTGACTACAACAGCACAGGTATGAGAGATCCCTTTTCTTGATCAATATATTCCCCAACATATTTAAACTTTCAGGACTGTTGAAATCCTAGGATGCTTATTACTTTCTAACATTGAAGCACCATAAAACTGGTAAATTCTATCAATCTCAATTCAGGTGCTCAGTATTCTTGGTTAAAGAAAGATCTAAATCAAGTAGACCGCAGTAAAACCCCTTGGCTGGTAGCTGCTTGGCATCCACCGTGGTATAATAGCTATTCCTCACACTATCAGGAATTTGAATGCATGAGACAGGAAATGGAAACGCTTCTCTATCAACACCATGTTGACATGGTCTTTTCTGGTCATGTAAGTTGGGATTTACTATACTCTGATAAATGGATACCTACTTGCAAACTTTGTTGTTAGTTGAGTCAGATAGAGGATGATAATTGTTGTATTGATTAATGTTCTGGAGCCTATTATTAAAGTTCAAATGCATTTTCTCAAACATAAGGCTTCACAACATTCTGTTTTTTTTTTTTTTTTAGCTTACTAGTAGAAAGGAATTATGGTCTCAAACAAAACACCATTGACAAGTCTTTTACCAAAGGCTCAAGTTTAGTAATTGTTACTTGAATTTTTCACATCATCTTCATAAAATTTATGTGATACTTCAGAAAGAGAAGATTCATTTAGTTTAGTCGAGTTCTCAGTTGCATATCATGTTTTATGTTCTTGTCTATCAACTTAACAGCTAGCTTCCTTCTCCAAGGTGGATGAGCATATTTTTAGAAATTCGAATTCTCATACCTTTTTGTTTACATCATATTTTAAATGGAGAAATGGGAGAAAGCACATACTTATATCAATGATATAACTGAAAATGATTTTTTATGAAGTCGTTTTTACACCAAGATTATTGTCTATGGTATTAATGAAACATCAAATTGTCTACTTGACAGGTCCATGCTTATGAACGGATGAACAGAGTCTATAACTATACATTAGATCCATGTGGTCCCACTTACATAACAGTTGGAGATGGTGGAAATATTGAGAAAGTTGATGTGGATCATGCAGACGAGCCTGGAAACTGTCCTTCAGCTGGGGATAACATACCAGAATTTGGAGGGGTATGTCATATTAATTTTTCTTCTGGTCCTGCTGAGGGCGAATTTTGTTGGGACAAGCAACCAGAGTGGAGTGCTTTCAGAGAAAGCAGCTTTGGGCATGGAATACTTGAGGTATGACCATAGCCTAAAATGTTATGAACTCCTTTATCAAATCTTTCAGTCAGTTTGTTTCAGAATTTGGAGTGCTTTAATTCTTGAATTTGCTCTTATGTGAGATCCCTTGAAGCTTAGGATGCTTACTTATTCAAACTCGCCTTGTTTTATTGATTGGGCAATGCATGACCAAAGTCAAAGCCCAGAGTCTGAAGTTTAGACTTTCCTTCCAATAAATCTCTTCGTAGAAGGATCGATGGCCTCTCCAAACCTTGGATAACACCAGTTGTTTTCCCACATGAAAATTTAAGATTGAACCATTTGTTTCCCTTCATATATTTTTATTAAAAAGTTTATTAATAGGTGCATTTTGATGGAAATTCGATAGCAGAAATACATGCTTAAACACATGTATGCACACACTCTCCATGTATGTACGTGCATCTGGAGTTCATATATGTTGATTTATTTATACTCTTTTGTTAGAACAATTAAGGCCTGCAAGAAGGCACAGTGGCTTAATTTAGTTGCAGCTCAAATCTCTCTATTTCTTGATATTATCTTCTTGTTCTTAATGCAGGTTGTGAACTACACACATGCATTGTGGACTTGGAACAGAAACCAGGATGTTTACAAGGACGATAGCCACGGTGACCAAATATATATTGTGCGGCAGCCTGAATCGTGCTTTGATTCGACAACTTCAAAAGTGATTTCCTAATTTAACATTTAATTCCAAACGTGCCATGCACCAGTATTTTCTTCTCCTTCGTTTGAAGCCAGAACCGGTATCTCTTGCTTAGCCAGAAATTTTCCCCTTCTTTGTTAGTGGTAAAAGATACTTGAAAACTTGTGTTTTCCATCCATCATTTCCAGATTAATTATTGAATGAGAAAGCATGCATGCGTTGATGGATTAGCTTAGGTTGTCATCTTTGTTGCAACGAGTGCATCACTGCCATCAGATCAGACCCATCTCTGCATCATCATTTTGATTTGTATAGATTAGTTCAACATCAGAAATGTCGAAGTATTGCACTTAGCCAATTCGACATTGCTATTAACCTTTTTCTTTGTTTTTGGGATGAATTCAACAGGGAAGTAACGAGCCTGGACAAGGAGATCTAACAAATGAAGCAGCTGATTTGTTAGCCAAATGGACGTGGTTCGCTGCTTCCATAGTAATGATCACAATCGTTGTTATTCGGACATCGTTATACTGATTGAACACTTTGTACCAACAGTCTTTTATTGCTCCTTTTTATCACCATAAACACTGTATCATTGTCATATAGATTGTCTCACACTCCTCCAATAATACAGATCAATGTATGTAATTGTGTCTGTTACAAAAACATCCTCAGGAGTTGACCCTAGGTAACCAAAATAATACAATATTAGAAAATAAAAAAGAGTGTTAAAAACATATAACACTTTTAGAAAAAAAAAAAAAAAGAAAAATAAACGAGAAGGTTTTAGATCCTTTTAATGGGCTGGGTTTGATAGAAAGAAACTCATAGATCTGTCGCTGCATGGGCTGAGTTGACGTAAGCACGTACGCAAAATCTTGATAGATTTTTTCTTCTTTTAAACTTAAATGTTTTTTAATGAAATAAAATATAAATTAGTCTCTTTGGTTTTCGAAAAGGAATTAAACAGTCCCTCTAGTTTTGATAAATAATTAATTAATCTCTATTTTTAAACTTAATCTTTTTCATCTTTTTTTTCAATAATTAGAAAAAAATAAGTAAAAATATGGAAAGATAGATGAATTTTTTTAAAAAAAATAAAATAATATTAAATTAACTATACTATTAAAAAGTTAAATAATTAATTTTTAAAATAAGATCAACCATTTAATTAGTTTGCAAAACTAAAAGTAACTAATTTATATTTTACTTCTTTTTTTTTTGTGGGATCCACAGCAACCGTCCGTCCGTCCGTCCGCATGGTTTTAAATGCGGATGGCATGAGTTGGATAGTTGCAATTGTGCTCTTGTGGATGGCGTTTTTTATTCGCTGCAGATTGGCGGTAGCCAGAGAGCACCATAAAAAGCAAAACCTTTCACGTGACCAACAAACCAACTTCTTCGTCTTTTTATTTTTTTCAACGTAGGTTGTTGTCCCCAATTCAGTTTCGAAGACCGCATCTACTACGGAATTAACAGGTGTGGTGGATCTTCGTGCCACCATCCAAGTTCGGTAGGTGCTCATAGGAATACCCAACAACCATGCTATATATATATATATATATTTTGGACGACCTTATATCTTTTTATTGGTTCTGTAATCAATCTATCTAATTTTATTTTTTTATTAAAAAAATCACTTGAAAATGATCAGACTAACATATAATATGAAGATGAATAGATGATGTCTAAGTTAAAAATATATTTAATCATATTTTGTAGTTGGTGGTAATATATAAAATCCTTATTTATAATAATAACTACTCTAAAAAAAATTAAGTAAAAAAAACTTTAAATTTAGATTCTCATGTAGAGAAGACTTTTTTTTTATCCGTTTTATGTTGTGGATAGGACAAAACATATAAAAAATTTTTAATTTGATGTTTCATGTTATATTGTGCATATACTAAGATATATCAAATCAAAAAACTAAATAAAAATTTATTCAATTTTTTAATCAAAATTTTGTATTTGATTAATTATTTTTTATAATTTTTTTATTAAAAATATTATTTATTTATCTCTATCCACAAACTAAAAAATTTATAATAATATAAAAAATATCAAAATCAATGGATTCTCAACTAAAAACTTATTATGAAAATTATTTTTTTCTAAATATTTTTTACCTTAAAAATTTTAATTAAAAATCATAAGAAAGGATCAAAGCGATAAAAATAAAATAAAAAAGATCAAAATTAAACAAAAAAAAATTATGAATTAAAAAACTAATATTTAAAAAAATCTAAATATAACATTATAAAAATATTTATAATAAATATATTTAAAAATATACAATAAATAGTAAATAAATAGTAACCCATCGTTTTCATGGAGTTAGCATGGTGCATAGTGTAATGTTCCTGCATTGACAAGTGTTTTTGGAGTCTTTTTCTTGTACACATGCATGAATCAACCATCTATAACGGCCCATTTTTTTATTATTATAATATTTTTTCTTGTGCTGCCATTTCACATTCTTTCTAAGAAAAAAGAATAAAAAAATCATCCAGATGGGGACACGTTAAATTTACAATTTTCTGGCCCCGTCCATGGAAAGCACAAAAGCAAATTCCCACTTCACTTCCCTAACACTTCCGGACTCTTCTCTCTCGCTCTCTCTCATTTCTCTTCTTCACCGACTGTCTCTCGAAACCCAAAAAAATGCAATACAAGAATCTAGGGAGATCTGGGCTGAAAGTGAGCCAGCTCTCTTATGGAGCTTGGGTAAGTTTTGGGAACCAACTAGATGTCAAAGAAGCGAAATCACTCTTGCAGTGTTGCAGAGACAACGGTGTCAATTTCTTTGATAACGCTGAGGTTTATGCTAATGGAAGAGCTGAGGAAATCATGGGTCAAGCGATCCGTGAACTCGGGTGGAAGAGATCAGATATAGTCGTGTCTACTAAGATCTTTTGGGGAGGTCCTGGTCCTAATGACAAAGGCTTGTCTAGGAAACATATTGTGGAGGGTACTAAGGCTTCTCTTAAGAGATTGGATATGGACTATGTTGATGTCATTTATTGTCATCGGTATGTGGGTTTCTTTCTCACGCAATTTTTTTTTTAACTGAGTTTTTGGAGGTTTTATTTATTTATTTTTCATCCCATTGTTTGGCTTATGGGATGTTTTACTGCTGATTTGTGTTTAACAGTGATGATATATTTTTTTGTTTTTGATTTTTTGATGTTGTCTAGTAATTGAAGAGTGCTTTGTTGATTGTCATTTTTTTTCCTGAGATTTCGGCACTGATTATGTGGATGTAGTGTGTTTCGACATTTCGTTAGATTATTATTGTTTCTGATGTGTTGCTTTCTCTTGTTAATTTGTGTTTATGGAGACTTTTTTTCCTCTTGGATTGTTTGATGGTTCGTGAAATGTAAAGTATTGAGTTGTTGTCTTTGGTTCTATCACAAGAGGGGTGATAAAGATTCTGTTGATGCAAATTAGTGAAAGAAGTCAATATGGATAGTTGTAGCTCTTGCTGCTTTTTTGTTTCATGGAATTTTGTGCTAGTTCTATACCATTACTCGTCTATAAGCTTGTTGGTTGCGACGGCTGGGATTATCTTGGTGTCATTGTCCTGTAAGAGGATTTTTTCCCGAATATTTTAGGTTTGGTGGCCTTTCCTCTTTATTTATGTTTCATATGGTATTCTTCATTTATTTTAATCAGTTTTAGTTTTTGCTATTGCCATATTGAGTAGAATTTGTCCTCGAGAATGGTTTTTGAAGTGGTCTAATGTGGAGTGTGTTAATATGATTTTCTGTCACAGCCCGGACAGTTCCACACCAATTGATGAGACAGTGAGGGCAATGAATTACGTGATTGATAAGGGTTGGGCATTTTACTGGGGGACTAGTGAATGGTCATCACAGCAGATCACTGAAGCTTGGGGCATTGCAGAGAGGTTAGACATGGTGGGGCCAATTGTTGAGCAGCCAGAGTACAATTTGCTCTCCAGGCACAAGGTGAGGAATTTTTCCATATATCTGGATGAGAAAAGACTGATTTTTATCTTTGAAGTGAAAACTGTAAATATCGCTTACATGGTGCTTACATGGTTTCCTTGTGTTCGTATGATTTCTAGTTGAATGTGATAGAAATATTGGTTTTGGGGCCTGTGATTTGGTAGATGGCTTACTTTTTAGGTGCAGAAAGAGCTAGTGTATGTGTCCAAGACAGAATCACTTTGTATCTTGTCTGTTTTGCTGGTTCTCTTTCGAATGAAGTCTATCTTCAACTTTAAGTTTGAAGTAAGGTTTAGATATGTTTAAAATAAACCCACCCCTTAAGTTAGTTGGGTTCTATATGTTGAATAATGCTTAAGAGGTGACATGAAATAGAGAGGAAGGCTTGCATGTGTTTTTGGGTCTTGTGGCATCTTTTGGTGGGTCTTTTTTTTTCCCCTGGTGATATACAAATTTTTAACTTCCTGTGAGAAAAACGACTTAATATCATCACTTTATTTGGAACATGTCTTGCAACAATGCTATGCCATCAAGTGGTTTATGTTAATGAGTAAATGATTTTCGTGGTTATGGCTTACGGACTTAATTTTGCTCTGTGTGTGAATTCACATACATATATTGTAACTTAAAAGCAGGCTTTCAATATGATTTGATAATATCTTTTATGGCTATAGGTTGAGTCTGAATACCTTCCATTGTATACCAACTATGGCCTTGGTCTTACCACATGGAGTCCACTTGCATCTGGGGTGCTCACTGGAAAATACAACAAAGGAGGCATACCTCCTGATAGCCGATTTGCTTTGGAAAATTACAAAGTAAGAGTTGTTTTCCTTTTGTTACTTTCTTACTGAATTTTCCAGTGAGTTTGTGTTGTCTTCAACAATCGTGATAGACTTAGTTTAATTAACAATCCAAATGCAGCAGCTTCTTGTTTTGTACGTGCTTTTGTTGGTTCTTAACTCTAGTTTTCCCTTGTTTTCCCTTGTGTTTTCCCTTGTGTTTCTGCTTTCCATTGCATATAGCAGATCTTCTAACAAGAAGGTGTAGGCACTTGAATATTCAACCCCATTTCCTGCTTTAAAGCATGGATGCTTGTTCACATGCAGTTAGTTTCGGTTCCAGTTTGGTGCTGCCCTAAGCAGCTTCTTTTTGCAGAGTGCCTAATTTTCTCATACTGTTCTGACATCCATGTTCTAGTGATATTCTCCTCTTAACTCCTATGCATAAAGTTACGAACCTGCAAATTTAGTTGGATACAGGTGTTCAAATAAGAACTTAATTTTCAAAATTGTGTATGCATAAATTATGATGCTTCTGCTTCTAACTCTCATCTTAAAATGAAGTAACTGTCTTGATGAAGTTGTTTCTTTGTTTTTCTCTAATTTTTTCTCCGCTACAATTCTAAACTATGTGTTATGGCTTCCAGAATCTTGCTACCCGGTCATTGGTTGATGATGTGCTAAAGAAGGTTAATGGATTGAAGCCAATTGCTGATGAACTAGGCGTACCTTTATCTCAACTTGCAATTGCATGGTGTGCTGCAAATCCAAATGTCTCATCAGTTATTACTGGTGCTACAAAGGAATCTCAGGTCTGCTTAGAAAATAGTGATCCTTAAAACATAACTTTAAAACTGTATTTCTTGAAACATGTGCATATATTGATGTAACTTTCCATTGTTTTTTCATTTTTTATCTGATTATCAGTCAGTTTCATTGAAGAGGGAAAATTCATCCTGTTTTACATGCAAAATGAATTTCAATATTGTGCTTCATGTCCATATTATTTTCCAGTTGATTTATTGATATAATTCATTACATAATGCATAACCTGAATAATGTGCTTACTGGACATGGATAAAGTCGCAAATTCTCATAAAGAAAGGCATGATTGGTGTGTTGAAGCACCTGATGCTTCAACTAATGGAACATGCTGCTTTTGGGGCAGAACAGTTCTCTGTAGGTTTTTGCGAGCACTAGTAGCATGCAATCATGGATTTTCATCATCTAGGCATTGCACAAGATCATTTATTTATTAGTGACGTAGCCAATTCAATTTTTTTTTCCCTCTTTATGCAGATTCAAGAAAACATGAAAGCTGTTGATGTGATCCCTTTACTGACTCCTGCTGTGATGGAAAAGATCGAGGCTGTTGTTCAAACCAAACCAAAACGTCAAGATTCATATAGGTAAACTGTGGGCGTGATCATTCTCTTGTGCCGTGTGCCTCATGGAGTTAAGTGAACTTTCGATGTCCGGAAGTTTTATTCCTTTGGCTTGGTGCTATTGCTAGTTATTACAATGTGCTTTTACATGTAGTTTCTTTCTATTGATCTGAAATCCACATTGGTTTCTCATTCATAAAATGTTTTCATTTGTTCGTGGATTGAGGGATGCTGAATTTATTGGCAATTATGAACTTGTAGTCTTAAGAGGTTTCGGTACTGTTCTGTGTGGATTTTATGGTTCTCTCTTTCAATTGTTTCTTTCTTCCCGTCAATTGAATTTCAATGGCCAGATAAAAGTGACGCCAAAAAAAAAAGGCAGATAATAGCGTGATCTACGTCTGTAGACCTTTGCGCGTCCCCGTTTTTGTAGGAAGTTTGAAGCTTTCGTTCAAAATTAACGAGTGTTGTCTCGAACCTGTGATTGAACCCGAACCAAAATTTATAAGTTTCACATAAACAGTAGCAACCTGATTCATCGTAGTAGATTCCTGCTAGTGTGTGTGTGTGTCTATATATATATATATATATATAATACTCTGCAAGAAAACCTTTAGAAGGAAGAAGCTGTAACGAGCTGCGGAAAAAAACACAATAGCTAGAATAACGCAACCATCAAGAAGCATCATTTCACAGAGTCATCCGTTTCAACAGTTATGGATGCATAGCATTTCGACCATCATTTGACCTTCACAAAGCTCAGGCTCCTTTCCCCGCTTGATTTGGTAAAGCCATCACTATTCAACTAGTCGGCGTTGTGTGGGGTTTTGCTGCCCTCCTTATTATGCTTCACTAATCTGTTGTCAAGAGCTGCGACATGATAGACTTGATTGAGGACTATGGTTGCAAACTCTGTTATAAATCTATTATCATATGGAATGTAAAAATAATTTTTACTGCCCTCGGATAATCATTGCACTTGCTGTTAAAACAAAGCGTCTGGGGGAGCTCCTTTTATCACTCCCATCAAAAAAATATCGAAGAGGATCAACGATGACGGAGGAGTGGAAAAAATCCCATTCTATATTATTTTACCATTTTGAATAAGCTTGTTTTATTCGACCTTTACATATAAGCAAATCTATTTACATGAGAAATAATTTGTTATATATATATATATATAGTTCTTTAATTCAGTCCTCCTTTTTCCTTTACTTTCCTCTTTCAATTCTCTTCATCAGCTTCAAGAATGTTTATTTAACCCCCAATCTACATGCTGTCGTCGATGACCATAGAGTGCCCGTTCCCATTCCTTACGGGGGGAGTCCCTTTTTTGCTCTCCAGAATTTCGAAGTGATATTCGGTCAAAAATTTGGGCTGCCTGTCGTCTCACATTCGGTAACAAATGGATCACGGCAAGCTTGTGGAATGTAATGAAGAATGATATAAAAACATTGTTGTACAGAAAAAGAATTATGTGAGAATTTGCATTAAATGGAATGCTTTTGCACAGATCAGATTTTATTTATTCGTTCGTTTATTGTTGGCTCGAAAGTTCAAATCATATTGTTCAGAACATAAGTATAAGGCCTGCTGTTCTTTTTATTTTGTTTTTCCATGTTGTTTTCATGAGCCTCCATTTCTCCCTAAATAAGACGTATTTAGGGCTATAAATAAATTAGATTTTGATTCAAATTCGGTCTGACTGTGATATGATTAAATACATTTGATATATCTTTTTTATAATTCGAGTCTGATTATAATCTAAATCTGTTAATTTTTTATTAAATAAATTAAATATAATATATCGTAATCGGGTGGATAATAATTCAATCTAAAATTAAAATTAATATTATCTTTAATAAATATAAAATTTTGATATAATAAATAAGTAAGAAAAACTATGACACCAAGTTTATATTTAGGGTTTATTCACAGAGATGCTAAGAAACGTTCTATACTCCTGTTTTTTTTTTTTTTCTCTTTACATTGAGGACTATTCTTGCAAACAATTACATCATAATTTTTTTTTCATTATTTTTCAAGAATTTTATAAAAAAATCCTAACAACTGAAAAAAAAATGAACTAATGAGTTGTTGTTGGTATTGTACTTGTAGTTTTAATTTATAAAATCTTGATTCCGTTTGAATTTTTATTTATTTCAACTTGTTAGTTTTAAATCACAAGAATTTCATTTCACACCAATTAAGTTGTGCCTAAAGTGATCATTTTTATTTTTTTAACTTTATCATATTTCTTGCCTAATTTAAATTAATATAAATTTTTATCAAGATTTTTTTTTTTAATTGTGAGACACTTGAAATTTTTTTAAATTGACACATAAAACATTATTATTTTTTGTATATGCAATAGTTGAAACTCATTTTATATTGAAATGAGTTTTTTAATGTAACCAACACTTTTTCTTTGAAAAAAAGCTAATAATAAATACAATCCGAAACTATTAGGATGCAAATTCGAATTCATTATATTCGAATTTATTATGATTTAAATTAAATCCGACTTGTTGACGGCTCTAAGCATATATGCATGGTGGAGAGAAAAAAATATTTTAAATTTTGTAATTCTGATAAATTACAATTTTCTAGAATTTTTAAAAATAAAAACACAGACATATATATATATATATATATATATGCAGTTGAAGACAAAAATAATCTAAATAATAGGAAAATTAAAGATAGAGAAATTACAGTTGTTAGTTTGTTGTAGTTTACGGTTAGGTTCGCGCTCTCCCCATATTTTTGTCCCTGTTATTTTAAGCTCTCTATCTTACTTTCCTTTTTAAACTCCGTCTATCATGCAAAGCTCTCTCTTCCTCCATCATATCCTCATAACCCAATTTCATACACCATTTTTTTCTCTTTTGGCTTTCTCCTCTTCCTCAACGGAACAATCTCCATTGCTTTACATGTTCACATAAAACTGCAAATTTCAACAAACAAGAAGGTACCCATTTCACCATTCTTTTTTTTTTTTTCATGTACATATAGTTTAACTAATATCTTTGGCACATCTAAATCTTGTAGGAAAAATTCTTCATTTTGTTTTTGTTCATTGCCCTTTATTTTGCTATGTGAATTATGCATCATTGATGATATATCTTGATGATTTGGTTGCTGTATGGATTTGAATTGGTTCATTGATTGATTGGTTGTAATTTCACTATGTTAAAATGGTTGAATTTTTAGTTTCCAGATACTGTTTAATGGATGATTATAATAAAAGATCAATATGAATTGTGGCACTTTAATTGTTTGATTATGTTTTTTATTCTAAAGCAAATTTGTGTATGTTTTGTAGATTTAGCAGCATTTTTAACATCAAGTGGAATTAATAATTGAAGACCTGTTGTGTACAGATTTTTAATGATAGTTGTTATTTGGTAGTGAAGAAAGGGAATTTGCGTATTGCATAATGATGATGCTGCTAGCATTCCAACATTTTCTTTTTCTCCATTTCAGATTACAATCACTTGCTATTGAGAAAATAATTATATCCCCTCGCCAATCATCATCAACTAATGATTTCACAAGACCCTTTTGCTTAATGATATTATCGCCATCATCATTCAATAGTGAATAACTCTTTGTAGCCAAGAAGTATCCTTTTATGACTTTGTATTCTAACTTAAACTTACCTAAGACTGTTGAATGTTATTCGTTTTGTGCATAGGAACTGTGAGTGCTATGATCTGGTCCAATTTCGATTGCGGTAGGAATTTGGAAGAGTATTGAGGAAGCATGGCCTAACAGGCCAGTCAATATTCACGTGCAGCTTTATTTAAAGTGAGATTTTTTTTGAGACCATGACACATGAAAAGCCTGGTAGCTCAGGCCAGAAGTTCTTTGGAGATAAAATCAAAGTTGTGACTAGTGACAGAATCGCTGCAGATAGAAATGTAAATAATATTTCTGTGCAGACAGGTGAGGAATTTTCTCCCCAGTTTGCTCGAAGAAGAGTACCGGAACTGAAGCAGCTAGGGCAAATGGGATTCAATTATAATCAGAATAATCTGATGGGTTCTGAAAATCATACCGGCAATCGTGGGATAAGGAGAAAGGACTCTGATTCTGATGCTTCAGATTATGTTTCCAGGATAGAAGCCACAGGAGCTGCTGAACTAGAAAATAGGGTTTATACTGATAATACAAGCAGATACCACTGGGAGTATGTTCCCAATGCACTGAAACCAAGTAACTATGTTGATGAAACAAATAATTCTGTTCGAGTAACCTTAGGTCCGACCAGTCCACCTAAATGTGCGCTGGAACCCCCTTGGCCATGTCATCCTGTTGGAACTAAAGTTTCAGAAAGTGGTTTCTCTGGAAAAATGAAATTTCTGTGCAGCTTTGGGGGGAGGATATTACCAAGGCCAAATGATGGGAAGCTCAGATATGTGGGTGGAGAAACGAGGATCATATCCATCAGAAAAAATTTTACATGGGAGGAGCTTGCGAAGAAAACTTTGGGAATTTCTGACCAACCTCATATGATCAAGTACCAGCTACCTGGCGAGGATCTTGATGCACTCATTTCTGTTTCTTCTGATGAAGATCTTCATCACATGATAGAGGAATATCAAGAGCTTGAAAGAAATGTAGGCACCCAAAGACTGCGGATATTTCTTGTTTCTTCAGGTGAACCTGACAGCCCAAATTCTTTTGACAGTAAGACCTCACAACAGTGTAATGCTGATAACCAGTATGTTGTTGCTGTTAATGGCATGCTGGACCTTAGTCCCCAGAAGAGCTCTAGTGGACAGAGTTCTGCAAGCCAACTGGGAACTGCTTCAGATTATAAGAATCAATCTCCTCCTATAACTCCAGTTAACATTCAGTACAGAGATCATAAAAATTCTAAAGGCCTATTTTACGTCGATCAGCCTTTCCCTAACAGTAATAAAAATATCTGTGGTTTTGCTGGGAACAAATTTCCATGTCACACTACATATTATAATAATCTTCCTCATGGGTCGATGCCGGTGAATAAAGCTTGCCATCACCAATATCCAGTAGAAACTGACCAGACTAGCAAACTATTAGACATGCATCTTAATAATCATAGCCTGAATGGAGATTCTCTTCCTTATCAGCTACATCTTCAAAATTCTATGAATTCAGACTGGCCTGCAATTATGGAAAGGGCATTTTCCGACTCACAGTTGCAGGAAAATGGTGAGGTGTCAAAGAAGTGGTTGGAAGAAGCAGTTATTCCATTTTCTCTACACAATCATGAAAGGCAAAAATCACCTTCACTGAAAATGTCAAATTCTTCCTCAGAAAGGCCAATGCTGTGGCCATATATAATGGATGAGAAACACCAATTGACTGACTTCGAGAATCAATGCAGTGAAAAGCTGAGTAATGCTGACTTAGATCAAGAAGTGCTGAAGTGGATGGACAGGAATGTTAACAATTCTGATGCTGACAAAGAACAGTATGGAAGAAATGTTGGAGGTGCATCAAATGGTAATGCTGTTGAGCATAGGAACTTACTGAATTTAAACTATCCGCCAAGTGCTTATCATCATCTGCCAGATTCTCAAGCATATGGAAGGATGATTTCTGCTACTCAAGTTAGCCTTTTAGAAAATTCTGCAGATATTACCTGGAAGCACCCTCAGGGTCACCAATCAGGCACTAATGCACCTGATTTGTTTGTTAAAAGCCAGAAGGTTACCAAGGATCACCAGTGTGCTATGACTGAGAGCATAAGCAGTCAACGAATTTTCCATGGGGATTCTGAATATCTACCTTCTGCATCTCTTGGACCAAGGGAGAAGGAACCAAAAGTCCCTAGCTCTGTAAGTATAGCTCTCTCCATAGCAAGATTTTGCCAATCTGAACTAAAACTTGCCGAAGATGATAATAACAAGTATTCCTCTAATTTCTAAATATCTATTCAGAAATCAGATAGGAGTGCTGTAAGCAGGTTGAATTCCTTGTGTGATGAATACCCTGTGGATTGTCCTGTAAAGGTCGAAAAGATTCATGACAAGGGACTATCATATGCGGAACCAATGGACAGAGATGCTCTATACGTCCAGTCTCAGCCCTTAGATAACCATCATGATGATAAGATGCCGGAGCCAGTGGTAATTGTTGAGGATGTGACTGGAACTACGCCTCCAGATATTCCCTTGTCTTTGAATGCTGTCCCACGTGTAGAAGAAGAAGTCACAGAGGGATTTCAATCTGATGAAAATACCGAGGCAGCAAGCACGTGTCAAGATGAAGAATACGAATCTGAGGTTACTTGTTTCCTTCTAATTTGGATTCTCTGCTTGTATGATATTTCTTTTTCTGGTCTGTTTTACCTTTTAAGTTTTACCTCGTGTGTTTTTAGGATATTGAAGGTTATGACAGGGCCATCAACGATTCCATTAGTGATGCGGCGATGGCTGAAATAGAAGCAGGCATCTATCATTTGCAGGTTCAGAAATAATATCTCACAAGTTATACATCTTTGTTTTCTGATTCATTATTCAGTAAAAATCCTCTAATACTTTCATGCCTGGGCTGCAAGTTAAATATGTCTAAGGTTCCACTTAGCCCAATTGTCAGGGGATAGTTATAGCCCCCAATGCCAGCTCCAGCTGCTTTTACACAAAGCTTCATTTCTGTAAAAAAACAAGCTTAAACTTGGAAGCAGCTGCTAGTTCGAATGTGACCTGAATCTCGTTGCTTTTTTATGAAAATGTGCTCATGGCTCTAACTCGCTACCATTATTTAAATGGTGTATGCAGAATGGCTGCAAAATGCAGTATATTTATGAGAATTTTGTTAGCTTAATGCTTTGTCGTGCTTATCATGCAGATTATAAAGAACGCAGATATTGAAGAAGTGCAGGAATTAGGATCCGGCACATTTGGAACTGTTTATTATGGGAAATGGAGGGGTACTGATGTCGCTATTAAAAGGATAAAAAGGAGTTGTTTTTCAGGCAATTCATCAGAACACGAGCGATTGGTTAGTCCTTTTAATCATCAGTTTCAGAACAAATAATTCTTTTCCCACATATTTTCTTTCGCTTGATAATAGTGGACCTGTTCGTGCTAAAAAACAAAATGCATATTGGAGTCCAAAATTTCATAAAACAAAGAAAAAAATTAAGTCCAAACAAATCACAACTTTTTGTTGAATTAGAGATATTAGCAACCGGATTTCTTGGTAGATAAGCGTTTGAATCTTTCTTGAGTGAAAATCTAATCAATCCTGCCTGTTTGTGCAGACTAGAGACTTCTGGAGAGAGGCACGCATCCTTTCAGATCTTCACCATCCAAATGTGTTAGCATTTTATGGCGTGGTCCCCGATGGACCTGGGGGGACAATGGCAACTGTGACTGAATATATGGTTAATGGATCATTAAGGCGTGTCCTACAAAAGAAGGATAGGTGAGTTGGTGGCTCAGAAATATTTTACTTCCTTGTACATATCGATCATGAAATATGGTAGCTCACGGAATCTTTCTTCAATGCACAGAGCATTGGATCGTCGGAAAAAGCTTATCATTGCTCTGGACGCTGCTTTTGGCATGGAATATCTGCATTTAAGAGATATCATTCATTTTGATTTGAAGTGTGACAATTTGCTTGTCAATTTAAAGGATCCCCAACGACCCATATGCAAGGTAATGTTTGCAGAAACCCTTCTCTCTTTGCTTCCTTTATTTTTCCTCTGGTCTTCTAGCTATTAGTTTTGATTCTACATCAGAGCATGCTTTTCATCTTTTAAAAGATTTCCTTTCAGTTTTATTCAATCTACATTTTCTATCAAAGTGTAGTCTCATTCGTATATGTAAGTTGCCCATTCTCCAGGTTGGAGATTTCGGATTGTCAAAAATCAAACGAAATACACTTGTATCTGGTGGTGTGCGTGGAACCCTTCCATGGATGGCACCAGAGTTATTGGATGGCAGCAGCAACCGAGTCTCTGAGAAGGTTAGCACAATACTTGGGCCTTTCTATATCATTGAGGTTCGAGTATATAAAAAATCAAGATTCTAACTTCTTAATAAAGATCGAAACAAGAACAACATTTGCAAATCCTTCCTTTACAGGTTGATGTCTTCTCGTTTGGTATTGCAATGTGGGAGATCCTGACTGGTGAAGAGCCATATGCCAACATGCAATTCGGTGCTATAATAGGTGAGGTTTTGCTTGATTGATAGAAATTGGTTTTCCCTTTCGTTATCTAAAGAACTTTTTCAAGTTCCTTCTATTCTGCCTTCTTAAGAATTTTAAACCATTGGTACATGAAAACTATAATTTGTATAATTTCAATTACAGTTTGCATGTGCTAATTCCTTTTCTCATTGAAATATGAAAAATGGACTGTATTTTCATTTCAAAATTTAAATTCAAGACACCGTTTTGCAAGGTTTGAATGATATATGTTCTATCCATCATCCATGCAAAACTTAGATTCTTTTTCTGAAAAAAGCAAATTATGCTTGAAAATAAACTGCATGCCAGTCTCTGCCATATGGTCTTACACATTTGCTAGTCTCTGTTTCATGTCCTTTTCATCTAATTTTCACCAACCCATTGTGGATTTTGAATGAAGGTGGAATTGTAAGTAACACGCTGAGGCCTCCCATACCACAACATTGTGATGCTGGATGGAGAAAGCTGATGGAAGAATGCTGGGCCTTTGATCCAGAAGCCAGACCATCATTTACAGAGATAACGAATAGGCTGCGAGCTATGTCAATAGCACTTCACCCAAAGCGACATAATTATGCAAGTTGATGAAACCCTAGCTCCTAACATTCACATGCCAAAAACATTTTGTAGGAAATTGCTGTAGGTTCTGAAGTGGCTTAGACACGAGCCATCGATATTGTAGATAAAAATCCTTGTAGGCCAAAAAGAAAGTACGAATATCATCCATAATTTTTTTCCCGACTTTCGTGCCAAATCCTTATTTCTTTACTATCGTTAGCAACATTAATGTGGTGAGAATACTCTATTGAATACTTTAGAAATTAGAAAACAGAAAACCAATTGTCATAAGAAGAACAAAAATAAAATCCAAAGTAATAATACGCAACCAATGAAAAGAGCCTGGAAGCAACTTTCAACCTCACTTGCAAGTTATTGACCGAATGTTTCGCATATCTTGAGTTCAACGCCGGATGTCTCAAACATGCTGTTGAGGCCACCGCACAAAGCAAAACGGTCAGAGAGGCGATACCACCTGGATCACATCCAAAACGGTATTTACACACTTTAGTAATTATTTAGTATATCGGAAAAGGCATTCTCTTTTCTCATGGAATTCATAAATAATATTTATGATAGATTGGTACAACTTCTAACATATATCTGATAATATCAAAATCACGAATTGCTTTGCTTGGCAATTTGTTAGTCATGCATCTTCTCTTTTCCCACAAGATATCTTTCTTTTTCTTAAAGAATTTTGATGAATTTTAACCGGTAGATTTTTTCACTAGGACAATAATTTCTTGATGACGAGAAGCAGCAGCAAGCCATTTATACAAATACCATATTGTATTATTTCATGATGAAAAAATTTATACTTATTTTATAAAAAAAAAAAATAGATACGAAGAGAAGATAAATAGAAAAAAAAATTAAACTTAGACAAAAAAAATTTATCATTTTTAACGAGTCTGAATGTAATTTTTTTTATCTCTCTAATAAAAAATAGACTCATATATAATAACTCCTTATATATTTTTAAACTCTTATTTCATGACATGCACAGGATTTCTTTTTATTGTCACGTCCTAGCTTATCTGCTCCTATATTTTTCTTTTTTTAATAATAAAAGAAATTACCTAATCAGTTTGCATGCCTATTTAAATTAATTTTTTTAGAAGAATTCCAAAGACCTAGGCCCACATTTTCATGTATATTTAAACAATAATTTTTTCATTATATAAGACCTTGATTGTTATAATATTGACCACATTATGATTGGTGTTGTATATAAATTTTTAGGTGCCGCTGTATATGCGTCTAAAAACATAGAAAAGAGGTTTTATATAAGAAAAATAGAAATGAGACCTGATGAAACTATTTTATATAAGAGAAATGGATAGTTTTCTTTTCTATCAATTCATCTAATAGTTATGCTATCTAGCACGATAAAAATCCATCAAATGAGCATAAAAATAATAAAGAGAAATAAACAAAACAAAAATCAAAATAATGAATAAAAACATTAGATAAATTGGAAAATAAAAAACCATCAAGCTAATTTTTTAAGAAAAAAAGAGTAGATTTAGAAATAGTGTTGATATGAGTGATTTTTAAAGTAGAAAAAAAGAGAGAGAGAGAGACCTCAAATTATGATATCATAATCGTGAAGAAGAAGAATATACATGTCATTGTGATTTCAAGTTAATATGATTATTTTAAAAAATTCCTAATAATGAATGTCATATCAATTAATGATATTAGAACGTTATTTATATATAATACATTCCATTTTAACTACTAAAAAATCAATAAAACAATATAAATATCTTAACATATTTTTTTTATTATTCAAAACTAACCATATGTCAACTATCTTTTGTACAACTTCTAACATATATCCGATAATATTAGAATGCTATGCCGCGCGTCGAAAAAAATACATAAAATTATTTCATTTTGATATCTCGTATTATATTGTGCGTCTACTAAAATACATTAAATTTTATATTTGACTGATTATTCTTTATATTTTTTATAAAAAAATTATTTAATGTTAAAACCAATGGATTCTTAGCTAAAAGTTTATTTTGTAAAGTTTTTTTATTTGCCTTAAAATTTTTGATTAAAAAAATCAGAGCAAAAAAAAGACCAAAATGACAAAAATGTAACAAAAAAGAGAGATCAAAACCAAATAAAAATATTTTAATTGAAAAAATCATATTTTAAAAAAAGTATCAAAGTGTAATATTAAAAAAACTTTGTTATAGATGTATTAAAAATGTTTGAAACAGAAAAAATATCATTGTATAGTGAAAAAAATAATATTTTTAAGTTTGTGTAAATAATAAAAAGAGCATGAATAAATAGTATTTCAAACAATGAATGAATAATAAAACTAATGGTTTTATTTTAGTTTTATTTATTTATAATTTGAATACTATCCGCCACACGGCACGTTTTAAAACGGACTGAAAAAAGGACCATTACTCAATCAAGAATAATAAAGAGAGTCAGCTTCTTACGTTGTTTTGATATAATTCACAAGCTACTTTTACTTTTGTTGCTTCGTCCAGACATAATCTCTCTCCTTATTGGACTTATAGGCACATTATCAACAGCTAATTAAGTAGTTAATGGTGGTCCACGTCAGCCAGACAATCCGAGACCTGGCCCACCACTGATACAAAGTAAGCACGATGTTAAAATTTGTTGGCCTTAATGGCAGCAAAAAGTAGCAAGTGGTTTCAATTTGGCTCATGTTGAACCTCTTAGTGATTATTATTATCGTTAATTTATTTTTATTTTTTTGAACAAGCGATTTCAATTGAACCTCTTCGTTTGAGAAGAGACGATCGAATCTTTATGATTTAATTTTGATACAGAGTTATTCATTAATCCAATTACATTGTTAAATTTTATAAAAATCAACATCAAGTGACCTTGTTTTGGGTATAAAAATATCACGAGATTCAATCCTGTCGTCCCTATCTACATCAGGACAATATAAAGGATGCGTCCTTAAAATATCGTCCGAAAAGAAAACTTTTTATCAACGTACAAATTGGTGAAAAAAATACTTTTTACTGCTGAATAAATAACAATAATAATTATTTGAAGATGGTAAATAATTTTTAGAATTTTGATGGTCTATCCTTAAAAATAGTTAAAAGAGTTTGTTTTACATTATTTTGTTGAGTTAAGTAGTGCAAGATGATAACTTTTGAATTCTTAAAAGGGACTACAATAATTACTCAAAAACTTACTTTAGAGAAAAAAAGATAGACATGAAGAGGTGAGAGAAACATGATAGAGAATTTAAAAACATATTCTTTTTGTGTAGATGGAGATATTTTAATCACTATTTGATTTTTTTATTTCTTTATGTATTTTTTAAAATATATCCATAAAATAATTATTAATAGTTATCTTTAGAGCACTCTAAAAAAAAAAATTGTGCAAGATTTAAAAAGTTTAGAGACCTTCTTAACTTAAAAAAGAAAAAATGTTAGATACCTAACAGGAATACTTAAAAGGACTAATAGTTTTTGAGGTCTTCTATTCTCACTTTCGTCTTGATCATATTTTTTTATTATTATTTTTATCTTTTTTTTTACGTTTACTTTATGTTTTAAGTTTATTTATCTATTTATTTTTTAAAATATTTAAAAAATTAATAGAAGGATGAACTTAAGGAACAAACTAAACGTAAAAATACTAATTTAAGATAATAAAAAATAAAAGTAGACACACGAGATAAAATATAAAAGAAAGAGGAGGGTAATCTCTGCGGTGCTTGAAAATCATCTTTCTTTAAAGCAATAATGATAACATATCTGTTATCAATTTTTTATGGTTTGACGGTAAGAAATATTTCTTTTTATGGTTTGAAAGCTATACCAATTTTTTGACAAATTTATGCATCACATCAATCAAAGTCTAGATTTCCTTTCAAACAATCTAAAGGATATATTATCCCTATCAATTTGGTGATTCAAAAAAAAATTATTTTTCTAAATGTTGAAAAAAATTCAAATTTTAAAAAGAAAATAAGTGAACAAACTTCTTTCATCATATAAAGCATCTTTTGGACTGACAATGCTAAACAACTTGCTAATCTCTACTCTCTGATTTTTGAGAATTTAGCGCCTCCAAGTGACGCACTGATATCTTCAATTATAATCGTCCATAATCTATCAAGATAAAACTACTTTCCTTGAATGGTTAAATCCCAGTGAATCCGACTAATTTTTGCCTTGGTCTATTGAAGGAAAATGATCATCACAGTTCACATTGAAGATTCCCACATATTCATCATTCTATTCTACTAAAAATTAAAACAGCCGAAAGGTTTATTGTTCAAAACAATTACTATTCAAATGAACAGCAAAACAGATGGAAAATTTGCTGTTAACAATGATTTACTGTTAATTACTTAAAATAAGCATTTTTGTGATTTTCTACAATAACATTTTCGTGATTTCTTTATTTATTTATTTATTTTGGCTTTCATTTTCAAATTTTACAATTCATTTTTTTTATCTTTTATGTTTTCAAAATATGTTTTTAAATCCTCATATTTTTAAAAATATTTGAAAATCTCATGTTTTTAATTTAGTACATTTTTGTCTTTTTTTTCAAAATATATTTTTTGTTCCTCATATTTTTTAAAAATATTTTTGACCTCTCATGTTTTTAAATTTTACAACAAACACATATATCGGATTATATTTTTTTATTGATTAAAATTAATCTCTTAAATTTTTTGTTTATTATAAAAATTCTCATCAAATTTAATTTTTTATGAAATTTTATTTGTTAATGAGTATGACTTATTTTTCTCTATGTAAGAATTTTTAATATGTTTTTCTAATAAATAATAGAATTCATGTGTTTCTTTATCTTATTCTTGATAAAATCAATTTTTTTAAATAAAATTTTAAATTATTTTTGTTGCATTCTATTAATTTTAACATATTTCTTACAATTTAAGTTTTTTTAAATATATTTTTTAATTTGTACATAGTATGGTAATGATGTATATAAAAAAATGTATCGAGATCAATGATTTTATTAAAAATTAATTATGCATATATACATATAACACCAACTATTTTCTATTAATTATTTTTAATATTCTAAATTTATTTTATTTTAAATAAAATAATATTTTAAAAGAATCACCTAATAATTCAAATACATGTTTTTATACCTAATATTATTGATTGTTTTGTATGCGTGTGTGTTTATATATCAAATGTACATTTTAAAAAAAGTTTAAAAAGATTCATTAGTTAATTTTTATATAAATTTTTATATTAATTGTTAATATATTTCTCCGATATAGTCTTATGAAAAAAAATATTAAGATATTTTTTAAAATTTTATATTGAATCATATATTTATATTATTATAGGTTTTTATTTAAGAATGAATGAATAAAAAAAAACAAATCATATTTTTTTAACAACAAAATCTATGAAAAAATATAAAGAAAAACGAATAAAATAAAAAATTTGATTAAAAATTATGACATTAAATAAAATTTTTATCTTTTATTTTTAATTAAATACATATTAGGAAAAAAAAACTAAAAGAACTAAGATATTTACTATTCATTCACTATTGTTTTAGACTTAAATTCACTATTCATTATGTTGCTTGATTGTTTGTCCCTTGGCTTTTTGTTAGTTACTCTTTTGCCACTTAATGGATTTGAAAAACTGTATTTTCACCCTTGATTGAATCTTCTTTGAATTTTCTACTAGGGCATTTTTTCGTCATTTCCTTCTTCTTTTTTTCAAAATGAGCATTTAATGCTCATGTCTTCTTCCCCTAGCTTTTTGTTAATTTTTCTTTTGCCACTTAATGGATTTGAGAAAGTCCATTTTTATCCTTGATTGAATCTTCCTTCAATTTTCTAATGGGGCATTTTTTCATCATTTCCGTCTTCTTTTTCAGATCGAGCATTTAATACTCATGTCTTGTTTCAATGTCTCTTTTTTTTCTTCTTATTTTCGACAAAGAAGCCAAAGCCTCTTTCTAGTTTAGAGTGATTGTAAATTAGTCCCTCTTTCTTCGAGAAACAAATTAATTAGTCCTTCATTAGCTTTGTTGAAAATTAATTATGTATCCGCATACATAACGCCATTGGTCCATTTGGTTCAAAAACTAATTTTTTTGTTCTTTTTGCCATATCAATGCTTCTATTTTTTGTTTTAAGAAATAGAGAAAGAATAAAAAAATAAGTAAAAATATGAAAAAAGACACTTTTGAAAATAAAAAAATAATTTATTCTTGATCAACACTCGATTAAAAAATTTATTTTTGAAACCAAAGGAATTAATTAATTCATTTTTCAAAACAAGATGGACTAATTTATAATTTAATTTGCAATTCAAGAATCTCTTTCATCATAAATTAAGAAATCAAATTTATGGAAATCAATTTTGTATTAATTTTTATTTCAATTTATTGACTTTAATATATTCCATAAATTTTTGATTTTTTTTTAAATATTTTTTTATACTATATACTATGAATCTACTAAGTATGATCAATATATATATATATATATATATATATATATATATATATATATATATATATATAGTTTTGTTAGAAATTAATTATGTATTTGCATACATAACACTAATTATTTGTAATTTTTCTTTTTTATATTCAAAAATTAATATTTTTAAATAATATAATATATATATATCATTAGTTTTGTTATGAATTAATTATGTATTTGGACACATAACCTCGATTGTTTGTTATTTATTCTTTTTTATACTATAAAATTAATTTTTTAAATAAAATAATTAAAATAATATTTTGAAAGAACCTTTCAATTATTCAAATACAATTTTTTTTGCTAATATTATTGATTATTTTGTTAATAAATATATATAAACGAAAAGATTTTGCTCAACCAATAGATTTTATTTACATTAATTATGAAAAATAAGATTTCTATCCACACTACACCATACGAATCATTGACCTCGTATACATAACGATCATCCGATCGTAGCATAACGTGAGTATCCAACTCGTTCTATGCTCAATTATATATATATATATAACTTTCTTGTAATCTTTCTTAGAGTTTAAATTCTAAAATAATAACATCAAGAACATACTTATTTATCAACTAAACTAAGTTTGGAACATAATTAATCAGTTTTCTACTTAAAGAGTAGGCAAATTATATATATATATATATAAAAGCAGACTAGGATTTAGGTCAATCGTCCATCTTTTTCTATAACAAAACAAAAATTATGAAAAACATATGATCAATTATATACGTGTGTGTGTGTCCGGCTTTTAAATCACCGTCTTCAAAGGTGAACTTCCCCCAAAGTCCAAACCCAGATTCTATATGTTCGATTTTTCACTACAACGTCTTTGTACACGTGGGTTTTAAATTTCTATATTGGTTATCATAAATATCTAATTATAAGTTTATAACGGCTTGATCGAAAAAAAATAAAATAAAAACAAAAATTACATATAATTTTATATTATTTTAAAAATAAAAATAAAAATAAATTTTTTTAAAAAAATATATATATATATTTTTTATCTGTTATGTATTAACTATAATCATCATTACTATAATCATAATCACCACAACTGTTTGATAAAATTACGTTTTAATTATTATTTTTATTGATATAAAAATTAAATATTAAAAAATTTATTCTGATTTTTATATTTTCATGGCGGAAGAGAATGAAAAACTATAGAATTACTCATCACGCGTAAGACCTCTTTTATTTATATCTCTATTACAATTTTACAATCTCTCACCTAGCCTAGCCTAGCCTAGTGCTACCCAAAGATTCCAAAAACAGTGGACGCATGAAAATCAGAGGCTCTTTGTCGAATGGGAATGTGAGGTAATGTCCTTATAGGGAGAAGAAGTTGAAAATGATTGACATGCATTGAAAAGTGCTGTTGGTGAAGATCATGATGGCTGTGACAAAAAGTGCGAGGCCCTTCTGGATTTTCAATTTAAAACCCTAATTTTACGGAGGAAGATGTTGACGGAACAAAAAGGTTAGGATAGTTATTTATATAAAGGTATCAAAATTGTACATGTGTCATTATTCGATGTGGACTAATCCGTAACTTTTGAGTGGTCTAGTAGTATTTGAAATTCAGCCTACCAATGAGATCTTTCGAATATGTGTAGCGATGGATGCTTGATCAACATATTTAAACACCCATCTAAAAAAATAATTGTAATAAAAGATAATAAATAAACCCTTTTTTTTTTTTAAGTGATAGAAGGATGTGCTTTAGCTCATACAATTAATTTGTTTTTTACAAATCATGTTCCCAAATTAACAAAAGTACCATGGAACCCGTAGGGCACTCTAGTGGGAATTTTCACCGAAGCTACTTGCTCCATGCTTGATGAATTCACTATCACCAATTCGGACCTCTCTTTTTTCTCATCTCTCACAAAGCCCAGTATAAACCCTTCACCATCATCATCACTACTTATTTCATTACTGTCAATATTTCCATTTTTGGGCACGTAACATGGCTCACCACCAAACCTACCTGCACCGTACATAAATTTTGTCACCTCATTAGTCTCTAAATCAACTTTTGCAATTCCACTACACTTTGGCCAAGGTTCTGCTATTGCCAAGTAAACAAACCGGGTTTTTTGACCCAGAAGTCCTCGATTTACTTGACCCGCTTCCAAATTCATGCCCGACACAATGACCCGTCGAGTCGACCCTCCTGTTGTCAAATTCAACCGGATTTCTGACAACTCACTCCGGAGGGGGCATTCGGATTGGTTGAAGATGGAATCGGGGGGTCCACGCACGACCCGCTAACAACTATAATTTTGTCACCATTATCAGAATTTTCTTCCCATGCATTCCACAAATGGAAACAAAAGCAATCCGGTACATCAATCCACTGCATTCCTGACTCATCAACATCAGTTTTTGACAAAATTCCAAACCGCGAAGTTTTGTTTTGATCATAAATTGCCGGTGAACCGCCCCGAATCATTTCGGATAACTTGAACACAACTTGGTGATCCGGGATCAACACAAAATTTTTTGTTATCGCAAAGTCATGAATCATGGTTGGTTGGTCCAACGTAACGTTCAAGTCACGTGATTTCTTACCACATGTATCAAATCTAAAGTACTTCAGATAGGGTTTCTTAGTAACGTTGTAACTAAGTGCATGGAGCTCACCAGTTATGGGGTCCACCTTAGGGTGTGCAATCATAGGACAATCAAGCTGACCATCAAAATTGAACCGTCCGATCGTTTCAAGATCGCCATCGCTCTTGATCTTAATATGATAAGGAAGATCATCCTCTGACATGGCCAATAATCTACCGTTGAAATTAACAAGCCCAGCATTGGCTACACCACTGCCACGTGTCCCATCAACCAAACCGACTCCAGCTCGAGCCATGAAAAGAGCCAGCCGAGCCAAACCCAAGTGACCATGCAACTCACCAATTGGCTTCGGAAACAAATGCCTTCCCAGTTCGGCTTCCTGCTCGAGCCGGCTTGTGCGGGTGTATCTACAGCTATAGCTGGCTCGGTTTCCGACGCCCAAGGTAACGGCATGGATCATACCATCGCCATCAAACAAGTGATGTCCACCTGTGGGTGCATGCAGAGGATTAGCGCCGTTGCGCAAGTAAACACCTCGTACGGCATCAGGAATCTGCCCCTCAACTTCCAAACTGTGACGAACCGGACACTCTTGAACCGGCGCGAAATTACCTGATATTTGAACCGCTGGGTCAACCGTTTTAGGCAATACAAGATTTTTCTCAAACGGTACAATTAGTGAGGCTTCAATTTTGTCTAAAACAGCGGCTACAAGACTTTGAAAAGGGTTTAGATGAGTTGGGAAGCTAGGTTTTTTTATCGGGAAGGATGTTGGTTCAGATTCGAGAACTGGTGTTGCCACTTCAGGCAATGGTACTGGTGGTGACGTTGGCAGTTTTATGGGACTAACAGTACTTTTCTTGGAAGGGTTAATGATGATTTTGCATTTGATTAATGGTGAATGTTTGGAGATTGAGGGTGCAGGTGGGGTGGTGGTGGTGGAGAAGTGAAGAGAGCCTTGCATGGCTAGCTAGAGACTTAGAGAAGTGAGAAAAATATTATACGGTGTGGGAGTATATTTTTGTTTCATCTAGTAGTGGCTTTATATAAAAGTTGAAGAAAGTGAAATGGTGCGGTGGGGGTAGAGAGTTAATAAGGAGATCAAGACACGTGGAGATGAGCTTGATGAACAGCATTGGCTAACAAGTACATACAGTAGTTTCAATTTAGTTTCTGTAATATATACTCATATTTGATTCCGTTATCTTCATATTAAATAAATATGCTCGTAAAATATCACTGTAGTTTTTTTCCTCTAATTTTGCCACTGGGATATATTTCTATCTTTGCCTTGTCCGAATCTTTATTGCTTCTACAAAGAAATACGAGTTAATACAAAAGATACCGAATCCTTATATAAAATAACGTATCCTAAACAAAATTTTAAGGCGGTAATATAATTAAATATAGATTGATTGTTTTACATTCAATTTTACTCGTATGTTAATATTATTAAATAATGGATTTGATTATAAAAAATAAATTATTTTTATATATAATTTTGATGGTTTAATGTGTGTAAAAATCTGAATTTAAAATTTATGCGGGGAAAAAAAACACTATCTTGCAAGCATTCTCCTTTTAAAAATGCGTATCTTACTTTTGAAACTAATACACATACACGCACGGAATGAGAGTTAATTTAGCTTTAAAAAAAGAGCAAAAGAAATTATAAATCAAGGATGTAATTGCAAATGAATTTAAAATATAAGGGTATAATTGAATACTTTATAAAATATAGAGGCTCGAGCCCCTTTTTTGGAACGTTACTTCGCTAATAATAGTAAATAACAAATACAAACACATAAGAATTATTTATGGCAAAGAGAAATTATTTTTCCACATAATTAATTTTATTTTTTTAATCTTGAAAGATTAATTGGTTTGGTGGTCAAAAAGATTTGCGCTATTTCTTAATTTATTTGGGTTCAAATGTTAGGATCAACATTTAAAGAATTTATTATTTTTTTCTAAATACACTAAATTGATATATAAATGCATTCTTAAAATCGTACGATGAGAGATTTAGCTTTAATTAATTCATAAACTGATTTGAAAATATCCTTATCATTAAATAAATAAAATAAGAACTTTATTTTTTATTTTGTAATCGAAAAACAAAATCTATAAAAGCTAGAAAAGTTACACTTAATTAAGACCTTATTAAATAAATGATTCACCAAATGAGGAATGGGGTTACATATGATGGATCAAGTGACGAAGAGTGTTATATAAGTAATTGACTTATCATATAAGTCATTTATATAGCATTATCACATGAAAATATTGTTTTTGTTAAGGCATAATTTTATGTTAGATCTTATGCATTTTATTATGTTCTCTCTTAGGATGGAATACTGTGATCCTTGGAATTCTCTTTTATGATAGAACAATGTTGAAGATTCCCGAAACTTTATATTATTCTCTTAATTTTAGGATAAAATAATGTTGGAAACTTGAGATTGTTTGAATGGTGTTTTATAATTCGTTTTATTTCATATTTACAACTACAACATTAAATGTGATAAAAACTCATATTTCCATTATTTGAAAAAACTTTCTAGCGTAACGAATTAATTGGTATGTTTGGTTATGCGTTTAATCTGTGTGTTAAAGCGTTTTCAAAATATATTTGGATTGAAAAATATTAAATTATTTATTTTTTAATGTTTTTCCGTATTAAAATCATTAAAAAAGCATAAAAATATTAACCTGATATTTTATAATGTGACACTACTTTTTAATTTTAATTAACTTCTCATAAATATTATCTTTAAAGAATTTTGTAAAAAGGTGTTGTATTTATAATACCTTGCAGGAAGAATTCTAGAAAGTACTTCCTGCCAAAGAAGGTTGGTTGGTGAAAATTCTGAAATCGCTTGCTAGATAGACTCTCGATTAATTTCAACGTTGATGATTTATTAACATCACCGTTGTTGTTAGTGGAGAGTATGACAGTCCAAATCTGAGTATCTCCATTGATTGTTAAAGTGGAAATTAAATTCGCAAAATTTAAAACATCCACCGTCTCTGTATATGCATTTATGTAATTAGAGTATCATAAAAGAAGAAGAAGAAGAAAAAAAGAAAAAGAAAAAGAAAAATTCGATCCATTATATAGTAAAGTAATAACTCCGACTAAATAATTATCATCATCATCATTATTATTATATGTCATGATTCCATTCAGGACAAAGGGTATACTCCTAGCATCAGAATTCCTCGTTAATTTGCGGCTTTTGTTAATTATCTGTTTTCTGGGGATTTGGGGTGGGTAGGGGCCGGAGCACTTTGTCCGAATAAAGGATGACATCATGCCGTTGCCTCATGGCTCCCAAGTAAAAACTTTTTCTTTTTCTTTTGAGCCATCATTCCAAGCATAAACTTATTCCTACAAACTATTACAAAAACAATTAAAATAAAATAATCGCTTGCTATTCGTTATATTATTTAAAATATTATTTATTTATACTCATTTATCCTATTTATTAAAAAAAATAAAAAAATGATATGATATTGTTGCCTCATAGCTCCCACGTAAAAACTTTTTTCCTTTCCTTTTTATTTTGAACCATCATCTCAAGTAAAACTTATTCCTACAAATTATTAAAAAAAAAATCTAAAGTAAAACCTCCACTACTATTCATTATATCATTTGAAATATTGTTTATTTAAATTCATTTGTATTAGTCATTAAGATTTAGATATATTATTTTTTTCACTATGCTATAGTATTTTTATAATTTTTAAACATTTTAAAGACGTTTATTATGAAAATTTTCTTAACATTATATTTAATCTTTCATTTTTAAACATTAATTTTTTCATTCGGTAAATATTTTTTGTTTCATTTTGATCACTTTGTTCTCTTTTTAATTAAAAATTTTAAAGCAAAAAAATATTTAGAAAAAACAATTTACAAAATAAGTTTTTAGCTAAAAATCTATTAATTTTGATATTTTTAATACTATTATAATTTTTAAGTTTATGGATAGAGATAAATATAATATTTCAAAAATTTATGAAAAATATAAAGAATAACTAGTCAAATCTAAAATTTTAATTAAAATTTTATAAAATTAAATAAATTTTTATTTAATTTTGATCGAATATATATTAATATACATATAATATAACAAAAAAACATCAAATAAAATGATATTTTAAAAATAATTTTATATACTTTATTTCATGCACCGTATAGCATAAATAAAAAAACTAATGCATTCTAGAAAAGAAAAAATGCTATTGATTCGAAAAATATATCCTCGAACATCGGGTCAACACTAGTTCCTACTCTTAGTTTTTTTCTTAAAAAAAAATTCCTGCGCTATAACTTTCTTTCTTTCTTCTTCTTCTTCTTCTTTTACATGTCAACTTAATTTTACTAGATTTTCATTCATAAACAACCAGAAACCTGCAATGCACGTGATAGCCACATCATCGGATATAGTAGAAGTATGAGGTTTCATTTTCTTTAAAATGTTGCCACCTTGATCAAGTACTGCAAAGCAAGAGGGTGTGGTCATGGGAAGTTTTGAAAGTTTTGAACAATTACCCAAATCATGGAAAAAATGCCACGCATAATGATCAGCACGTAGTCCTTGTGATTCTAGTTTTTTTTTTTTTTTTTGCCTTCTTCCCTGATCTCCACTGCACGTTGATTTTATTTTGAATGCGAAAGCTCCTTAACTTTACCTATCAGACAACTATATCGCCACGTTCAGGTGGGCAGTATGGTATCTGTTGACCTTCCATAGCTACACGTTCGAAAAATCACGTGCGTAAAACAGGTGTCTAACTTAGGTTATGGAACCCACATGAAGTGTAAATGCTTATAGAGCTACACAAGACAAATGGCTACGTCTAATTCAATTGCAAGTATAATATTATTTTTCTTGATTTTATTATTAATATACGTTGAGGTTTCAGAGTATTGCTCACTATCTGTCCGTCGTCTTTTCTTTTCTTTTTTTCCTTTTATAATCATGTTTTTGTTTTTGTTTGCTGTGGTTGCACGCGCACTGTCATCTCTTTGATCGTGGCTATTTTATGCAGATTTTATCTCGTATGTCTGAGTTATTAAATAAGCTTTGCTAGTTTGAAACACTAAAGGCTCCGAAATAATCTGTTTTATGCAGATTAATTTGTCAGCAAATCCATATAAACAGATATAATTTAACTGTTGTATGATTAGTGGTTTTATTTAATAAAAAAGGTTCGAATTTTAATAATTTTAATTTATTTAATTATTACCTGGGAGAGCTAGTCAATCAAGATCCAACGGACTTCCAATGAAAAAGAAAAAGAAAAGATGCAAACCCTTGTAGCGTTAAAAAATGGATTGCGAGGTTAAAAGCTTGGGCCTAGCTACTAGGCTCATGACGGCCCGAACTATGGGAAAGGCCAGTAGGCCCAAGTTGTTAAAATATGCACTTGACTGGAGCGCAAAAAGTAAGTTTGCCGTCCTGGTGTCGGTTTCAGTCTTCATGTACATGGGCTGAGACGGGGTCATTGAACTCAGACCAGCCCAAATTTATACTCGTTTTAATTCATTCCTCAAGCCTCAATCCACACATTTCTCTGATGATACCCCAAGTTCCAAAGCTGGGCATGATAGAAGAAAGGACGTGGAGCATGAGAAAGAGAGAACTTTCCGTATTTCACTTCCATGGTCGTATTGCAAATGTTAGAAAAAAGAAACAGAAGAAAAAATTTAGTGTGGTTGTGAGAGAATTACATACTTACCTCATGTCAAGTTTATTCGGATTTTTTTTCTTCCAAGCAGTAAGAGTATTCTCGAATCATCTTTCGTGTACTATTCATTTTTTTAAATCATTTTTTATTAGAATATGATAATTTAGTCATTAATATTTGTCAAATCAATAAGTTTTTAGATATTTGCTTAGAATTTATGATAGCTGGATGCAATTATGTAAATATAATGAATGGAGAGTTGAATTTGCCAAATTATTTACTCATAAGTTAATTTATTAATTACATACAAACACAAGGTAGAATTGCTTTCAATTTTTTTTCACGTCATTAATTTTTCACAAAATTGTAAACGATCACGCACACATACATTGTCAAGTGATTATCAAATTTTAACTCTCATAACATAACAACGGTGAAAATTGGGATGTTATAATTGATGCCGTTTATTTTCCTATAGGTCAATATCCGTAAATTCATTGTACGCACCAAAAAATAAAAAAAAGGTCAATGGTCTAAAATGCTTGTGGTTTTAGGAATCATTCAAGACAGCAAATTTAAAAGCTTGTCAAAATTACTGTGAACCTAATTTTTTTTTCCTTGATCATCGCATTGTTTTACTTCTCTTCCTCAAAAAAACAAGAAAATTGTTTCAAGTCATGTTAATTTTTATTCAGTCATTTTTTTTAATACGTGTGAAATATGATTATATAGATAATCATATATAGAATACACTAATTTTTCACTCGCATTACGCTGCGAATCGAAAAGAACATGTAAAATTATTTTAGTTTAAGAATTTTTACTGTGAATCCATCAAAATATAATGATTTTTTTATTATTATTAAAAATTGGCATTTGACTAATTATTCATTGTATTTTTCAAAAACTTTCTACAAAAAAAAAGATTTATTCTTATTTTTTCGATTCTTAACTAAAAACTTGTGATAATCTAAAAATAAAATCTAAAACTCCATGGATTTAAAACTAAAATTTTATTTTATAAATTATTTTTTTCAAAAAATCTAATACAAATTCTCTAAAAAAATATTTTTAATATATATATATATATATATATAATCATTTAAAAATTCTAAGAGTCCATCATATAAATTATATAATTTTTTTAAAATAATCATGCTGTCAAATTTTATTTAAAAATCTATACATAGAGAACAATAAATCATGTTTATCAATAAATAATATTTTTAAAAAATAAAAATTAATTTGATGAAAATATTAATAAGAAATGAAAAAGTGAAAAAATAATTTTAAACAATAATAATAATATAATTTAAAATATAGCTTTATTTTAAAATATAAAAACATATCATATAGATATATTTATTTCATGCATAGATGTGAATATAGTAATAGATATATTTATTTCATGTACTAGTTATAAATATAGTGATAGATAGATTATAAATCAATCCTTTTTGTTTTGAAAAACGAATTAATTAATCATTTTGATTCCAAAATAATTATTTAATCTTTTTAGCCAGACTAATTTTTTTTATTTTAAAAATGTCTTCTTTTCTCATTAATTTTTTTTATCTATTTTTTATTTAAAAAAATAAAAAAATAAAAAAAATGATAAGAATGACAAAAATTAGTTTTTGAAATCAAATGGACCAATTAATTCATTCCCTTGTGAAAAAAGGATTAATTTATAATTTACTCTTGAAGCTCCTCTCTTCTCATGCAAATGAGGGGAAAAAATGTCAATTAGATAAGCATTAAAGGTTTCATCAAGAAAAGAAAAGAAAATAATCAAAAAAAGGTTAAAAGAGAAATAAAAAAAGGGACTGAGTGAAAGGCAAAGACGGATTTTTATAAATTCACTCAATGATAACGAAGATAATTACAAATAAAAAAGAAAGCCATTTATAATAAAAAAAAAAAAAAAAAGGGGGAGAAATGACAAAAAAAAGGCTAGGAAAGAAAATTAAAAAAGAAATCAGTTAAGAAAAACATGTGAATTTTCGCAAATTTATTGAGTACCAATAAGAGTGATTTAGGATTAAAAAAAAAGTCTTTTATAATGTAAAAAAAAAAAACTCAATCCACGATAAATTGAGAGTTGATGAATGTTCTAATAACAATAAAATTCTCTTGTATTTTAGTGTTTTGTGTAATTTCGCTTTGGCTTTATTAGCATCTTGAGCACGTTGAGAAGACAGTGTAGGTTCCATTCCACGTGGGCTAGCTTCAGCCAGAAAAAGTTATGGTCGTTTTCAGGCTTGTGATAAGTGCGATCTAAACGACGATAGAAACGAAGAAACCGGTTGATGTTTGCTTTCCTACCAAAAGCAAATGTCACATTCCGGAGAGCAGCTAGCAATTTAGCATCACTCGTCGTATGCGGAGGATGGGGTTGTCAGAGAGTGCATAAATAAATAATTTGGACAAACCTAAGGTTAATCCCTAAAGTGTTATCTTATTGTCAATTAAATCTCAAATCCTTTGATTTTATTAATATTGTCTCAAACGTAATGAAAATTAGATAATATCACTATTCGATTCATCTCATCAATAATAGTTAAATATTCATTCAATTTACATGTGTTTTTAGTAAAATTTTCTTATTTTCCTCCACTGATCTAACTATTATAAAAGGAAATGTATTATGATTTTGTTGGATTTGAACATATTGAGCCTCTCATGATGAGCAAGCTCATGTGCAAAACTCACAGCATAACTTCCTTATAAAAACTGTCAAACAGTTCATAAATAAATTAACATTTGTTTAATTTTTGAATGTTAAACTAGACTTAAAATTGTGAAATGAAAAAAAAAAAAAAAACTCCTTAAAACTATATAAAAAAATACAACTATCCTTGGAAATTCTCTAAATATCTCTCTACATAAAGTTTATGGAACTTAAATTGTGGAAAGTGTGTTATTTTCTATGTGATTTGATACCAGATTCATGAGTTCGTGTGGTCCGTTGATAAGATAATTCGTATTAATTCTCACATTTTATTTTTCCAACGAATTTGATGTCACAATTCTTCATTACCATATGTTATAATTTATTTTAGTGATTTCAATCAAAGTACTCACATGTTGTTTGGTTAAAAAAAAGAAGAAATATTTGAAATAAAAATGTAGAAAGTATAATAAAATTGATATTTTAGTTCCAATACCATGTTTAGAGTAGTTATAAGGAATTGAAAAAAAATTTTAAATTTTTAAGATTAAAAAATAATAATTTCATCAATAATAATTATAGTAAAAAAGATAGATGTGATTGCGACGGTGATTGCAATGATAAAAGAGGTAACGATAATTTCAATCATAATAGTAATATAATAAGATCAATAACATATTTTAAAAAAATTAACGTTATCATTGTAGAAGGTGGTAGTGAAAAAAATTGATGGTGGTGGAAAAAAAATCATGGTAGAATAGTAAAAACAACAACAACAATAATAAGGGTAAAATATAAAAATTCTCTTGAGATATCGGGTACTATGTAAAAAATTGAAGATATTATAAAAACCATTAAAATTTAAGCTAATATTACAAAACCATAATTATGCAACCAAAATAACCTTAATATTTTTTTAATCATTTTTTCAATATTAAAAATATTTTGGATACAAAAGAAGATTTTTATAATATTTTTAATTGTATGGGGGTTCACTCGTAAATGCGTAATATGCTAAAGAAGTTGTTGTAATTTATAATAATAACAACAATAATAATTTTGTTTATCATTACTACTCGCTAATGACGATGGCGGTGGCAACAACAATGATGAGAACATGATAGTAGAAATAGTTGATAAATTTTTTTTTATTATTTTGAAGAAACAAATCTCTTTATTGTTTTTTATTTTTATTTCCACCTCCCTTATGAGAATGAAATAATGTTTAATTTTTTTATTATTATTTTTATTTTTATCGGTTTATTTTTTGGTTATAAAAAAATATAATAATAACAACAATAATATTTTTTTTTATCACCGTTACTAGTGCTAGTGGCGACGACAACGATAATGATGAGGTGGTAATGATGATAGAAATAGTTGATACATAGAAATAAAAATAAAATTATTAATTTGAAGAAAAAATTTATTTATCGTTTCTTATTTTTATATCCACCTCCCTTATGAGAATGAAATTATGTTTAATTATTATTATTATTTTCACTCTTTATTTTTTTTTATCAAACACCTAAAAAGTACTATAAAATTTTTATTTTTATTTTTATTAGTTTATTTTTTGGTTATTAAATAATAGTTTGAAGAATGTATATATAAATTAAACAAAATATTTAACTATAGTCAACAATAGATGAATTAGAAGGTGACATTGTTTAATATTCTTTACACTTGGAACAAAATTAGTGGGAAAAAAAACTTAGAAACTCAATTAATAATGAGATAATAAGTTAGGAATTATAACAAGGTTTTTCATAAATTTTTTTTTAATGTGGTGCAAAAATTCATTTCGTTGCATCGATGGATCCAATATCAGATAAGTGGCTGTTCATTTTTTGTTATTGAGGATGTGACTGTTGGACTTTAATCCATTAACATTATAGTATTTATAAAAATATTTAAATAATTAAAAAAAACTAAAACAAGTGAAGTGTTTACTATTACAATACTATTCATTTACTGTTACTTAAGACTCATGTTAACTGTTGCTCGTGACTCACTTGTACTGTTAAGCATGTTTCTTTCCATCTTCCCTGTTGATTCCCGTTGGAAATTTGTTGGTCGTTTGATCTACAGGTTCTTGCCTGCCTTTTGCTTTGTTTTCTTGGCCTTTTTCATTTTCGCCCCCTTCCTTTTCATTTATTTCTCTTTTGCTATTCATTTCCTTTGGCCATTTACATCTCTACACTGAAAACTTATCCTTTCATTTCTTTCTTTCTTCTTATTCCACGTTTTCTCATTTATTTCCTTTTGTTATTTCCATCTCTGCCCCCTCAAACCATATTCTTTCACTTCTTTCTTTCCCATTCCATGTTCGCCTGTCAACCTTAGTCGTCTCTGTCGAGTTTTTTTCGCCTCTGCTCCAGTCGTCGGCTATTCATTCTTCATCGTTCAGAGCCCTAATTTAATGCTATTGTACCAATTTTTTTGGTTTTTTTTATGCATTGACCTCTCTGTCCCTAAACCTAACTTTTTTTATTTTTTTTGTTCTTTTTTCTTCGGGTTTCTTTTGTAATCATCCTCCATTCTTTGTTCATCGATGCAAGTTGCTCATTTAATGTTATTGTACCTTTTCTTTTTTGGGGCGTTTTTGTAACGTACTCGCCCCAGTCATATTTCTACTACCCAAGTAGAGTATCGGACGAAGCGCGTTACGCTAACATACCTTAAACTCTAAGTAGTTTTCGTATGATATTCTTAGAACTTTAACGATGACATTACGTATATAACTCCTTAAGATAAAATTTACATAACATAATTAAATACATTAATAAAACATTACAGGAAATATTCAATTTCTCATGAACTCCATACCCCAAATTTCCGAAAAAATAAAAACTAATATATGGTGCTTCACATGAGCCAGTTAGGAGGAGCCAGCCGCATCCGTACCAACTTGTCCTTTTCCGTTAAGGCATAAAAAAATAACAATAGGGTGAGCCAAAGCTCGATAGCGAGTGATGCACGTGATATGCAATGTTGTTTTGACTTCCCATCATACTCATAAATTTTAATCTCGGGTACCACGGGTATTAGCCAGTTTACTCTATTTATCATCCGGTGGTCCACGGATCACCTTCGCTACAACAGAATTATCCCTCATTGTAACTATCGTTAGCGAAAATCCATCATCTAATAAGTACAAGTACACAGCTTGATTTCATTCGGATGATCCTAGGATCATCTTGTGCTACAACGGAATTATACCTCGTTGTAACTACTATTAGCAAAAATCCATCATCTAATAGTGCGTGCACACGACCTAGAGTATTGGACTACTAATACCCATTTATTCCAGTTAAGTTATCAAACCTAGATGTATAAATCATTTCTCAATCAATTGACTTGTCTTAAACCACCCACTATGCACATGATGCACGTGATGACATATTTAATCACATTCAACCAAATTCGAGTACCAACCTTTCATTCTCATGCCATACTCACTAGTCCAACCCACACTTGAAATTTATCCATTACTCACATACCAATTCCGATACCCATAGCGGAACACAATTTCATCCAGATGATCCTAGGATCATCTTCTCGCTACAACGGAATTATCCCTCGTTGTAACTACTATTAGCGAAAATCCATCATCTAATAGTGCAGAGCACACGACTTAGAGTATTGGACTACTAATACCCATTTATTCCAGTTAGGTTATCAAACCTAGATGTATAAATTATTTTTCAATCAATTAACTTGTCTTAAACCACCCACTATGCACATGATGCACGTGATGACATATTTAATCACATTCAACCAAATTCGGGTACCAACCTTTCATTCTCATGCCATACTCACGGTCCAACCCACACTTGAAATTTATCCATTACTCACATACCAATTCCGATACCCATAGCGGGAACACAATTTCATCCAGATGATCCTAGGATTATCTTCTCGCTACAACGGAATTATCCCTCGTTGTAACTACTATTAGCGAAAATCCATCATCTAATAGTGCGAGCACACAGACTTCAGAGTATTGGACTACTAATACCCATTTATTCCAGTTAGGTTATCAAACCTAGATGTATAGATCATTTCTCAATCAATTGACTTGTCTTAAACCATCCACTATGCACATGATGCACGTGATGACATATTTAATCACATTCAACCAAATTCGGGTACCAACCTTTCATTCTCATGCCATACTCACGGTCCAACCCACATTCAAAATTTATCCATTGCTCACATACCAATTCGATACCCATAGCGAGAACACAATCTCCGCTCATTAATATTGTTCATTAGTTTCATTAATATTTAAAAGAAGGTCCAAGTCCATTTGCTTTAATCCGAGCCTATTAACTTTATCCTAGGTCCATTGACTTTATTTAATTCCATTTTATTTAGTCCAAGCTCATTTAATTTATTCCAAACCTATAAATTTTGTCCAAGTCTAATTTTTTTTTGTTTTAAGGTTTATTACCGAGCAACTCTTAATCGAGTAAATAATTTTCTAATTTTAGAACATAATTAAATCTTACTCATTTTATTTTAGATACTAGACATATTTATTTATACCATATATAAAAATTGGTTCTAAATACCAAGTACACAATTAATTGTAAATTTTTGAAACTTAGGGAGCAATCTGCCTAATAATAGTTTATCTAGAGCTATCCATACTAAATCGGGTATAACTCTTTGTACACGAATCCAATGACCAATAAATTTGAAAGAAAGTTAGTTGAAACATAGATGAACAACTTTTATGCTTTAAGTTTCACCTAGAAATCAATCTAAAATCCTTGAACATACACCCCATAATTCGGACAGAATTTACTCCTTATTAACACTAATTTATTAGTTCATTCCAAGCCAACTTTAAACATGTTTTAGTTCACTTAAATTTAGTCCAAGTTCAATACAACCCATCACTACATACTTGGAAATTTTTCAAAACATCATAACATCATAAATCATCACAACAAGGCATCTATACATAGATTTATCCCAAGCATCAAGCATATAACCATTGAAAATTATTACGACCCATGAAATAAACACTAACAAAATAACTTAAAATAAATAATTTAAGACATTAATCAGCCAAAAAAAATGAAACCTACTTACCTCTTTTAGGTTTGATTAGAATTTCCTTAACTCTTTTTCTTTCCTTTTTCCCTTTCTCTTTCTCTTTTCTTTCTTTCTCTCTTTTGTCTGTTTTTCTCTCTTCAATTTGGCTTCTCTTTTAATTCTAGATGGCTACGGTTTTTGGCCTAAAAATGATAGCCATTTAACCCTCTATTTCCCTTATATACCTACCTTTTATCCTCTCATTTATTTATATCGTAAGTGTTAAAATTTAACTAGGCCAAATGCAAAGTGGAGGAAGCTTGGAAGGCAAAGCTGGCATGTTTTGGAAGTCAAAGGTGATGATTTGGCTTCCAAGCATTTAATTCAAGTGCTTAGATGACTCAAGAAAACTTAGGCTAAATAAAAACATTAATAAGCTAGGTTCATGTAATTAGACATAATTTCTTTCATAAAAAATTCAGAAATTTTCATTTTTAAAATTCGAATTTCTTTTTCTCCAAAATTTCAGCAGTGTTACCTCCCAACCCATCTATACTAAAATGTGCATAACTCTTTATATATGTATCCAAAAATTATGAAATTTTATAGAGAGCTATTACACCCATAGAAAAACAACTTTTATGCTTTAAGTGTTTCTCAAAAATCGATCTAACAGCATCAAATAAATCTTACACAATTCGGGCGATTCTTCTCCTAAAATTCCAGCAGAATGCATTTCGAAACAACCCTCACTATAATTGGTATAGCTCTTAATTTATAAGTCCAAATATTATAACATTTTATACAGGCCTATTCAACACATCGATGAACAACTTTAATTCTTTAAGTTTGACCCAAAAATTATCCTAAAGTCCTCAAATAATTCACATAAAACTCGGGCGTAATATAGTCCTTAAAACACCGATTTTGCATATTTGATTTCTTTAATAATTAAACCATTAATTTTAAGCACAATAACTTTAATTTAACATAAATCACATATTTAAAGCATTAATTTCTCATGATGAAATGAGAATTATACTTGTTCTTAATATACACATATATAGAATTATTCTAATACACATCGTGTTACGGATAAGGGTTTTTACGGGGGTTGCGGTTTTTTCTTCCCTCAATCTTTTCTATTGTTGTCCTTTGTTAAGCCACTTGCTGTGAATGGAGGCCCGAATGATGGTGCTTTGGGACAAAATTGATCTATGTTATTCCGGATCTAGTACGAAATCTTGCACAACCAGTGGATCTTGCTTCCTTCGTAAAAAAAATCCACTTTTGGTTCGTTTGATTTCAATCAACATTGGATTTTTGTGATTGTTGCCCATCGTTACATTTCTTTTTGGGGGTTGTTGCTAGTCGGGGTCCCGGAGAAGGTGAGGTTTGGTCGGCATCGGCAATTATATATATTGTTCTACCTCGATTGGTTTCGTTGCCATTTCGTTTAGTTCCAACCGAGTTCCTTCTTTTCCCTACTTTCTCTTATTATTTTGTGTGCTTTTATTTTTTTTCTTTTCATTGTGCTCGCTGTACTTGGTCCGATTGCCCTCGTAGCTTTGGAATTGACCCCTTCTAATATAGCATGTTATATTTATATGACATTCGGCTTCTCATTTTTTTTTCGATTACGGTTGGTCCTTTTTATAATCGGATTCATCTCTTTTCCTTCTTTTTACTTGGTTGTGTGTGGCTGGTTCTTCTCGCATTTACTCGTAGGTTATTGCCCTTCTTTATGTCTTTTAAACTCGTTTTGTATTTCTTCGTTTGCTACTGGGTCCGCATCTTTCGTCATTGTCTTTTTTTGAACATTTTTACTTAGCACTCGTATATGGTTTTTTCTTTGATTTGTTTCCTCTTATTTATTTATTTATTTTTGTTTAGCTTATGCTTGCTCTGTTGGTTTGCTTACCCCTATACCTTTAGAAGTGATGCTTCTAATATAGCTCGTTAATTTATATCGATTCAAAATCCGATTGATTTTTTTGGTTTGCATTTGCTTCTTCTCATAATCGAGTTCATTGTTTTTCCTTCTTTTTGCTTGGTTGTGTGCCTCCGGTTCTTCTCGCAATTGCTTGCAAGTTATTACCCTTCTTAACATCTTTTTTATCGCTTCATATTTCTCCATTTGGTCTTGAACTCCGCAGCTTTCATTGTTCCGTATTTTTGAATATTTTTGCCAAAGACTCGTATGTTGTTTGGTCTTGAATTTATGTGCTCTTTTTCTTATGTGTGCCTATTCCGCTTGCCTCTTAACTTGGTTTTTACATGATCTTCGGGTTTTGTCTTCTTTTTTTGTGTTTCAATTGCTCTTTCTTATATTCGACTCTTATTGGTTGTTCATTCATCTTGCTTCGTTATGTACCATTGGTCCTTCTTGTAGCTGCTTTAGGTTATTGCCTTTCTCTATCTCTTTTTACCACTTCATATTTCTTTGTTTTTTCGTTGGACTACGAGTTTCATTGTTCCTTTTTGGGTGTATTTTTTGTTGTTTTTATTACTGAAGTATATTATCAAGGAAATATATAGCAGGAATAGATTTATTTGATCTAATGCTATCGATGCCAATGGCACAATGTTTATCATTTAGGGGACCTAGATAATCATCAAGAAAGTCATGACTTTTGATTATTTCAAACTAAGTCTGGAATGAGATAATCATTGTTTTGTATTTTTGAATATTTTTGCTAAGGCCCCGTATGTTGTTTGTTCTTGAATTTACTTGCTCTTATTATTATTATTATTAGTGCTCGTTCGCTTGCCTCTTAACTAGTTTTTACATGATCTTCACGTTTTGTCTTCTTTTTTGTGTTGTAGTTGCTCTTTCTTATATTCGACTTCATTGGTTGTTTGTTCTTCTTGGTTCGTTGTGTGCCATTGGTCATTTCTGCAATCGCTTCAAGTTATTACCTTTCTCTATCTTTTATTTCCCGCTTCATATTTCTTCGTTTTCTACTGGGACTACGAGTTTCATTGTTCCTTTTTACATGTACTTTTTGTTGTTTTTATTGTTGAATTATTATCAAAGAAGTATATAGTAAGAGTAGATTTCTTTGATCCGATGTTATCGATGCTAATGGCACAAAGTTTATCATTTAGGGGACCTAGATAATCATCATGAAAGTCATAGCGTTTAATTGTGTGAAACTTAAGCTGGAATGAGATGATTTTAGAGGTTTTCATCGTTAGTTACACCGGCGAGACCTACATACTACTTTGGAGGCTCACTTGGGAGCTCTTTTGGCGTAGGCATAGTGAGAGCGGAATCATGAGCAATTGTCTTTAGATATTGATGAGGTATAAGCTATAAGAAACTGTATGAATTATTCATTCACTCAACGTATTTTCCTCTATATAAATTGCTTTAATATGACTTCTTTTTATGCTTGCCATCTATTGTTGTTTTATGAGAACTATTCTCCATCATAGTCTTGGTGGTTTATTGTTTCTTCTCTTATGTCTTTATTTGTTTTCTATTCATTTAGTTTTGAGCCTTTCTTGTGTGAATTATTGGTAGGTTTTATTGCTTTAACTTCTTTTCTTTTTGCTCTTATGCAAGCATATTTTATTATGCTTGATTTCTTTTTTCCCTTGTGTTATTCATTCATTCAAATTTTGGTTGTTATTCTTATTAAAGTTGTTGTTCGGAACATATATAGTCGTTGTCGTTTCATAAAATAAGCTCCTTGGGGCTTTGAATTATACAACTACGGTTGAGAGCAATTGAAAGTTCTTTGCTCCTTCATCAAAACTACCAAGTTTTCATTTCTACATTGCATTTCTTATTATAGTTTGCCATCCCTCACTATTTCCCTCCATGCATCACACTTCTACTTTTGTTTTGTACTCTTCCAATTTGTATTAATGTCGCCTTTTTTATATTAGGTGTGCAACCTCTTTCGCACACCATTTAATGCTCTACATCAAATAAATTATTGCATTGTTTTATTTGGGTTACATTCCTTCTATGATTCTCTCGCTTGCATCGTTTACTATGACTCATTATTGTAAATATGCGGTTATGGATTTTTTATTTTAAGTTAGATTATTGTGATTGTTTTCCTCTTTCCTCGCTTACTTTTTGGTTGCACTCGCCTCTTTGTTTGCTTTTCCATTTCTTTATAATTAATTTTTATATTTTAAAACAATTTTCTTATGTTGTTTTTTTAATTGTCTTTTTATGTTATTGACAAATGCTTGGATGATAGATGGTTTTGTTATGATTTTGAATATATATATATATGTATGTATATGGCGGGTTGTTTTTCGATGTCTTATTCCTTATTTTTAGTAATTTTCTTATTTATGTGTTTCCACTGTTTCCCATAACATGTGAGGTTTTTTAAGATATGGCTTCCCTTAATTTTTTCTCTTTTTAGGTTTGTGGTCAACATGGATTTATATGTTGCTTGATAGTTCGATTCATTTTTTACCTCTCGCTGCATTCGATAACACATGATCAATAAAAAACCTTTGCTATTATGAACAATATTTAATCATTTATAGGGTCTAGGAAATTTGGTTCTTTACTGCTATGAACAAGATCTTATCGTTTGCATGGTCTAGAAAATTTGGTTATTGGGGAAATTTTTTTCTCATCTATATATTTTAATCCCACTTATTCTTTCTTGTTTTGGAAACTTATTATTTTTTTAGCAATTACCTATAAAAGTTGTCCATTGTTGTTTTTTCCCCTTTTGATCTAATAAGTTATTTTGTGCGGTTTCAAGTTGCAGTGATTTATAGGTTTTGTTTCCTTCACCAAAAGCAACAAGTAAGATTTGTTCATCGCTTTTTTCCCATTTGATGCTTGTTGAGATATTTTTTTCTCGTTAGCCAATTCTGCTTCGAATGTTTTTTTGCTATGTCATGCCTTCCGCTTCACTTCGTTGTTCGTTTTTTTTAAGATCCTTTTCCTCACCATTAATTGAGCCATGTTTTTCATATTCCGGTGTTTAATTTTTGGTTCCTCGCTTCATCAATAAATTACAAAATGTGTACATTCTTTCGGTTAGGGCAACAATAATTAAGTGAAACATCCTAACAAAACTAAATTAATCAATCCGACTACGGATCGTACCATGAATAAGTGGCTAGGCCATTATGCTGAAAATTAGTTGATATATCATTGGATGAAAAAAAATTTTCAATTAGTTCATGCACGCTAAGCATATATGTCAATAAGTCATGCTTAGACTTAACAATTGTCTCCCTATTTTACCCATTATGCTATGAAAACTTTTTTGCAAATGTTTTTATATTCTAGCCTCTCAAATAACAAAATTAAACTACAATCGATCGAATAAAAACACTTGCTACACTTCGATTGTTCCCGTACCTTTGCCAAGCATTCTTGCTCCTATTTTTCTTATGCACTCTCTACCTAGATAACTTAGCAAAATTCATTCAATAATTATGATGGTTCTACAATTTAATTGTTTTATATTTTTGATATAATAAAAACATCATTAATAAATAGAACCATTCTACTAAAAAAAATTATTTGTACTTAATGATACATCGTTGCTAAACTAAAACATTGTAAGAGAACTCAAATGATATGTTTTTAGAAACCACAAAAGCTGAAATAGACAAAAAAGAAAATTGTTTTCCATGAAAATGATGTATATTAGAAAATGCAGATACTTTGATATATATGTATATATAAGAAAAGCACATGCATATGATAATGAAAAAATTTTAAAAAATACATGCTCGGATGGATGAAAAAAAATTGCTTTGAAATTTAATCAAATTGATACACAGTATAAATCTCAATTAACTCTTTGTATTATTGATGGACCATTGGCTATCACATTTGTCAGCTTGTTCCCGTAGCTTTAGAAAACATTATTGATGCTTTGAATCTCTACCTAGATAATTATGGCACATCTATAATTTTTTTCATTTTAGATTGTAAACATAATAGAGACAATAATAATCAATCAAACCATTCTACAAAAAAATAAACCATATCTTTAGCAACTCTTTGAACAATCCTCTTTTGATAGCATTGTTAATGTTAAAAAAAAATGCCTTCCTTTCCTTTGTAACTTTGCACCGAATTCTCTTGAACCTTGGTTAATGATTGTAACTTTACATACATGTGTTTGTTTGGTATTATTATTCCCTTTCCTATCGATGCTTTTTGGCCGATATTCGGTTGGTGATTTAGGCGATCAATAGTTAAATATGGTCTTGATGGTTTTTGTCTGCATGGTGTCAAATTAATTAGGTAAACAAAGCATCATATTGTAAAATAAGTTGTTGGGATTTTTTCAAACATCTGTTATATGATTTTGGCACAATGTTTCATGGTAATAGACATACGTCCCTTTGCAGCTTGAAGAAGATTTGTAGCATGTATTTTAATTTCTACTATGAAAGATTTGCTATGAAACAAATCTTGCATGAAATTCCTAAACTCGTTCCCTGAATTTATGTTGAAGGCATGTTTCGAGTTCATGTTTTTCATCCTCGACAGGAAACATTAAGCCTTCCTTTTTTTTTTTTGTTTAATACATTTATTTTTCACATTCCCGTACATGTATAAGCGTGCTTTTAATCGAGCTAAATTATCCATATTAGCAATAAAAAACACAAAACTATTACTCGTTAGAGATTTAAAATACAATTCATCGGACCTTCATTTTCCAATTGTCATTCAAGCTCCAACCACTAATCATAACTTTGAAAATCCGTTGTCATTTTTCACCAACTTTGGGTCAATTATTCTCAACCACCAATCATGTGATACACATATAAATTTTTGATTTCCCGCCTACCTTGTCATTTTATTTATAGTTATATTATTGTACACTTTAAGAAAAAACCTTACTTGACAGTCTATCTATTCACTGGATAACCACAACAACCCACAACATGTTTGTTTTCTCTTCTTGATCATCAACTAAAATATGACCTTTTACTAGAAAATGACAATAAACATAATTGACCTACCATTCAACTTTTGACTGGAACAAAAACAAAAAAGCAAGGTCGGATTGTGTTCTTGAAACACTTGCAATCATGATGTTTGTTAGGTAACATTATAGATTTTCTAACACAACTACATAAGGTCTTTATAAATATTTGACACCTCTTAACATTCCTCTCCTCCACCCAGAAACAAAAACTAAATATTTGGCACCTGTTAACATTGCTCTCCTCCACCCGAAACAAAAACAAGAGCCATGGTTTATCACTAGGACCTCATTGCTCACCAAACACAATGAAGATAGTACTAAATCTTTTTTGCTTTTCAATCTTATCATAATACATTTTTTTTCCTATCTAATTCTTTCGAGGTTTACAGGTTCACAAACTAAATCTATCATTTCTAGCTACGGATAGCATTAGGCTGCAAAATAAAAACAGATCAACCATTGAGCACTTACTCCAACCACCAATCGACAACACCGAGGTTTGCAAAATTCTCTATCAATTTTTAAAAATAAAATTATTAGACATCATATAAACATATATACTCTACTCATTAGTTGTTTTTTATTAGAAAATTTGCTACACAATTAAAACCATAATAGTCCATATTGATCCAAGTTTAGGCTAGTGGTTTCCAAGCATGTCCAATATGTCACCGCCCAGAAAAAAACTCGTAGATATCAACTCATGTACAATCTATGGCATACTCATTAACAAACCTATCCCACAGTAAGTAACTCCGAACATTACAGATTAATTTCTTCCTTTACAAATAAAATTATATGAGTGCCCTTTTGTTTAATATGCACATGAAATCACATTAAATCTTCTTTTTTATTACCTTAGCATATCTTTTTTTCCCTTTTTTCTTCTTTTTTATAGGTATAACATCAATTGCACTATTTGTGATCATACATCCGAAAGTAGTCTTCTACTTGCTGGAAATGTCGTCGTATTGTGTTTTGGATATACATGCAAGCAATTGGTATTAGACTTTGGATATGTTGAAAAAAACGTGCTCCCATAACAATTGCTAAATACAATTGATAAACCCAAGATTTTTGGGTTGGACGTAATCTTTTTCACAACACATCGTTAGGTTACCGCTTTGTTGGAACTCATGTCTTAGATGCCGACAACATAACCCCATAAATCATCAAACATGCCAAAAAGGGCAATAATGGTAGAAAGGAAAAGCCATTGTAACTCCATTTATCCATCATTTTATAATATTATAAGAATTTTTTTTCTTTCCATGTCCTTATTCCCTAACATAAAAAATATATGCTTATAAATAAAAATATTATATAAGATTCGGATAAAAGCTCAACCAAACGAGACTTGATCCTCTATATATAATAGGTACTCGATCGCGAGCATAAGTGCAGGTGCCCCACTAGTAATAGCTATTTTTGAATAAAAACTACAACCTTCAAGCCTATAACTTGGTGAAAGAAGACCTTCAATTGAAAACTGGTTAGCTAGTTTCATGGTTATCCTTGAAATTCATGGTCCGCAACAATCAACCAAAAAACTATCCTTCTAAACCGGAGTGTCTATTAGAATAACATGATATATTATTATAATGTATTTTTTTTAACTAACTTATTATTATTACTTTATCTGTCCTAAAGTGTTAGTCTTATTTAATTTTTTACAGAGTTTAACAAAATATTAATTATTATAACATCAGTTTTTTGCCATTATTTTCCTAAAATAACCTTTTTATGCGGTCAAATTTGAGTTTCAAAATTTCTAAACATTCTAAACAAATATGAAGATTATTTAGCCTCCTAACATCAATACTTCAAATTAAGATATTTGTTCCTTCAAAATTTAAGTTAATTTTGTTTAGAATATCTAAAGATCATCAAGAAATCTATTTTTTTTAATAAAATTTTAAACTAGAAAAATTAATTCCAAAACGATGTGCCAAATCATGATTTTTGTCCCTTCTAAATTTAAATTAGAAAATTTTAGAAAGATCTAGAGATCATTAAGTCTTCCTAAATTTCTCATGGAATTTTATGCCAAAAAATTAGTCCCAAAATCAAAGTGCGAAGTCAAATTTTTTATCCCTCTCAAATTTAAGTTGAATTTTTTTTTCAGAAAGATATAAAGATCATCAAGAAATCCTAAACTTTTCATAAAAATTTTAAGCCAAAAAATCAGTGAATAGTTGTCATTAAGAAATCCTAAATAGTTGGTGGGAACAAATATAAAATTTGTCATTTAAGCAAACAAAAATTAGAGAACATAGGACATCTTTTAATTTGTCTTGAAAATAATTATGATATTTTGGAAGTTGCTATGGATTTTCTTGAAGAATAAATAGTTTTCATGTAATAAAAAGGTTTTTTTTTTTTGAAATTTTTTATGTTAAAAATATCTGTATGTTCTAAAAGAAAGTGTAAAAAATATTTATTTTCTAGTTAATAAAAAGTAAGAAATGAAGAAAGAATTGACTAGGAATACTTTGAAAAAATATAATATTAAAATTTTGATCAAATAATTATTTTGAGACCTGTATAAATAATAAAAAGATAATTTTTTTAAGGAAATATATATATTTTTTTCTGTACCTGTGAGATATGTTGCGGAATCTCATGAGCAAGGAAAAAAATCTAACGCTTGGCTTACTGTTGCCGTCCCACCGATTTTAGTAAGTTTTCATTAGCCTCTGCATGTTAATATGCTTGGTTACCCTCCATCGTAGTTTTGAAAAATCTACACCAGTTTTTAGAAAATATTTGGTAATGCATTTGGACGATTTGTAGTGTGTCCTTCTACGTACACGTAAGAGGAAACATTGGAAAATTTTGTAGTAACATACGCTATAGGAGGTATATTTCGGTTTTGCCATCTTTGGCTCCTAGAAGGATAACAATTAACCACGTCAACAGCATTTTAGCAATCCCAATTTCCCAATCCGGCACGCTTTTCCATAACCCCACCGCACCTCCTCTCTCCTCATCCAAAATGACGTCATTTCCTTCCTCCCTCTTTTTGGGATCTTTCTAAAATACTTGTGGAAAAGACCCCATCATTTATGGATAATAATGAAAACCACAAAGTCTATGCATACATAAATACGAATTGAATTATAAATCAGTATCTCTATTTCTTAAGAATGAATTAATTATTCTTTTTGTTTTTAAAATAATGATTTAATATTTAATATTTACCACACTTAATTCTATTCTATTTTATTTTATAAAATGTTATTTTTTCTTCTATCTTTTCATATTTATTTATTTTCTTTTTTCAAAGATCAAAATAATTGAAAAAAATAAAAATATTAAATTACAAGAAAATTTAAAATTATAGAAGCTAAAATGACTGATTTACAATTTATTCCATAAATTAGCTGATAAAAATATGTCTGGTCCCTCGTATTTTTTGTACATTTGAACAATAAACTCCACTATTTTAAATGAGACCAAATAAAATCTTTTACTTAAGAAGAATAGCAATTCAAGATCCTCTATTCAATTATTTTATAACACGTGACATTCATCCTTTCATTTAATAATTGAAAGCAAGGGTTTGGTCTTGAGAAATTAAAGTACCGAATTTTATTTGATAATGTAAAAAGTAGAGAGGATGGTATTAGATTTTTAGCTTTTCTTTTTTTCGTTGGAAGGTCAGTTATAATGGCGAGTAATGTTTCGGCATTAGAGAGTAACTAACTCTTTTTGTTTGTATTGTAATTAACTGGGTTTCAAAACTGCTTTATGTCAGAAAGCTACTACATATTGAAACCACTATACTAAATCACAATGATCATGGCCGTCCATTCCTAAAAAAGAAAAAATAAATATCTTTAGATATATGAAACTATTTTACTATTATAAACACCCAATGATACTAATCAACATAATTTCATTTTATCCAAAATTTTGCCATTTTCTGCAACCGCCAACCTATAAAAATATATAAAAATCCGCTTGCTTTTTTTCTATTTAACCCATACTTCATTTTCGAGTCCTCTTTATTTTTACATAGAGAAGCGTGTTGCGCATAAACTTCATCCTTTTTCTTAGACAGAGAAAACAGAAAAAGAAAACGAAAATGGAGAAAGCAGTCAACAGGCAGCGCGTTCTTCTTGATCACCTTCGTCCTTCTTCTTCTTCTCACAATTTTGAATCCACTCTTTCTGTAAGTTTAAAAGTTTGATCCATATTTGATTTGATGCTTTAGCTGATAATTTGATTGTTTCCGATTTTGTTGGCATGTTATATCTGTTTTTTTAAGAGAATCTTAGCTGCTAGTAAGATTATGAAAGTTGAAGGAACGATTTATAATTTTTTAATTTATGAGATCTATTGCTTTATATTATTTTTATTAATATTTTAGAGATCTATTGTTTTGTTTGGCTATATTTGTTAATATAATTTGGATTTTCGTGACTTGATTAATTTCTTTATATAAATAGAAGTTTAAATAAATGGAGTTTGATTATTTGTGAGATCAGGCATCTGCTTGTTTAGCTGGAGATAGCGCTGCTTATCAAAGGACTTCGGCGTATGGAGATGATGTTGTGATTGTTGCGTAAGTAGTGTTTATTAACTGGCATAATGACGGTTTAGGTGAATTGAGCTTGATTTTTTTAATGCATGTTATTTTATTCATTAATTTATTATTATTATTAATTTATTTATTTATTTTGTGGTTATATAGAGCATTTAGAACTCCGCTATGCAAATCAAAGCGTGGTGGTTTCAAGGATACTCTTGCGGACGACCTACTTGCACCTGTGTTGAAGGTTTGTTTTGCTGTTTGATTTTGAATTTGGTTATGGTTATGATTTTGATTTTGATCATATGTTTTCGATGTCAGAATAATAAAACGTGTGCTTGTTGTTATTGTGGATTTTTGGTTGGTGTAGGCATTGATAGAGAAAACTAATGTGGATCCAAGAGAAGTTGGGGATATTGTTGTGGGTTCGGTATTGGCACCAGGATCTCAAAGAGCAAGTGAATGCAGGATGGCTGCATTTTATGCTGGTTTTCCTGGTATGTTCCTTAAATTGCTTCTTTTTAGGAGTATTGGTTGTGTTACTGCTTTATTGCTTACTTGATTGGATTTATAATTTGGTCCAGAAACTGTGCCGGTAAGGACTGTCAACAGGCAATGTTCATCTGGGCTTCAGGCAGTTGCTGATGTGGCTGCTTCTATCAAAGCTGGGTTCTACGAAATTGGTAAGAGGAATGCCCCAAACTGCCTTTTCGATAGTGTATTATCTTGATGTCTTGTTAATTATTAGGCTTTACATTTTTTTATTACTTCGTTGTAGGCATCGGAGCAGGGTTGGAATCCATGACAAGTAATCCAATGTCATGGGATGGAGAAGTGAATCCAAAGGTATATCTTTGCTTCTCTTCATTTAATTTGTTTCAGAAGGTTTGTTGGTGTTTTTTTATTTCGTTATTTATTGATCTGGGTTGGATTCTCAAGGCTATTTTGATTATGGCAGGCAAAGAACTTTAAAAAAGCCCAAGATTGCCTTCTACCCATGGGTGTTACTTCAGAAAATGTTGCACATCGTTTCGGTGTGACCAGGCTGGAGCAAGATCAGGCTGCAGTACGTGCAATGAATCTACTGTGCAGTTTATTGCAACATGATCTGTTGTATTAATATTGTTAAATTATCTTTGTTAGGTTGATTTTCATCGAAGACTGAAAATGTTGTTGTTAGGTTGATTCTCATAGGAAAATTGTTAAATTGTTGTTGTTAGGTTGATTCTCATAGGAAGGCTGCTGCTGCTACTGCTTCGGGCAGATTCAAGGATGAAATCATCCCTGTCGCTACAAAGGTATATTTAGTTGAATGTATTGAGAGGGAAAAAAAAGGCATCTTGATTAATTCATGTACTTGCATGTTTTAGTCATTGTTGGCTTAAGAACTCAACATGTAACATCTGATTATGTTGGCATTTTCATGTTTGAAGATTGTCGACCCTAAAACCGGTGATGAGAAGCCCATTGTAGTCTCTGTTGATGATGGGATTCGCCCGAACTCATCAGTAGCTGATCTGGGAAAACTAAAGCCCGTGTTTAAGAAAGATGGGACCACCACTGCTGGTATACAAAATGTGTGCTTTTTTTTTTTTTTACCTTAAATGTGTTGTCAGCTTTTTTTTTTTTTTTTTCATGAATATATGTTGTCAGCTTACTTTGATCCATTGGATCATGTGGTGGTTCTCCTTCAGGGAATTCTAGCCAAGTCAGTGATGGTGCTGGGGCTGTGTTGCTCATGAAAAGAAGTGTTGCTATGCGCAAAGGGCTGCCCATTCTTGGTGTATTCAGGTACATAATTCCCCTCAAAAAAAAAAAAAAATTGATTTTATAGAGGAAATGCTAACCAATGATTTTCTTGCTCAAAGGGCTGCACTATCATCATCATGTTGAGCAGAGAATGTGGTTGTTGGACGAATTTGCTTCATGTTTCCCAATAGTAATGATTTTATAGAGGAAATGTTGACCAATATACCTGATGGCATGGGATCTTCTATACTCTTTGATTTGTTTTTTGTTAGTTCAGAACTTTTAACACCCAAATGAGGGGTATTGAGCTTTTGAGTTCAAGGTATAAGATCTCATTCAGGGCCAAGAATTTTGCTTCAGCAATTCCCCTGCAGCTCATTTGTTCTGTAGTTTAGGAAGATGGCCCTCTGCAAATGCATATCTGATTTTTTTTGCTGGAGACAACAATGTTTAGATGTTTCTTTCCATCTCATCTGTTAGTTTTCATTTATTAATGATGAAAATAAATTAAGGAATTGTCCTCATTTTTCTCATATAAAAATTATTTTGGCCATGCAGGACATTTGCTGCTGTTGGTGTGGATCCTGACATCATGGGTGTAGGCCCAGCTGTTGCAATCCCAGCTGCGGTGAAGGCTGCTGGTCTGGAACTTGAGGATATTGACCTTTTTGAGATAAATGAGGTAAAAAGAAAATGAAATTTGTACAGTTATGATCAGAATCAAACACTACTTCCACTTGTAAGTTAATTTTGTTGTTGTTCAGGCATTTGCTTCCCAGTTTGTATATTGTCGCAACAAGCTGGATCTTGATCCGCAGAAGATCAATGTCAATGGGGGTGCAATGGCCATTGGGCATCCTCTGGGTGCAACAGGTATTTCCTTGTGGAAAATTGAAGTTAAAATGAGTTGCAGTCTAATTTCTTGTGACAAGCTAACAGCCCTATAATATAAGTTATAGATTGGAGGCAATTTTTTTTTTTTTTTTTGGGGGGGGGGGGGGGGGGTGGTTGTTGGGGAGCACTTTTTGTGTAGCCTAAGTTTTTACTATTTCTCCGAGAAAATACGTCGGTCAGCAATTTGCAGGATACATTGTTAAGTTCGGTTCTGTAGGAGCAAGTCAGAAAGTTTATGAGAAATAGAACAAATCGATCATATATTGGAGGTAGTTTTATTTTGAGGAGGGAGGTGGGTCGGGATAAATTGTCAAGTCATTGGTTCTGTAGGAACAAGTCAGAAAGATTTGATAAATAGAACAAATCGATTATACATTGGAGGGAGTTTTTTTTTTTTAGCTGAAGCATTCATTGGATCTCTTGGAAAATATGTCTTTGACAGTAGTTCACCAGATAAATTGTTGAAGAAGTTGGTTCCGTTGGAGTAAGTTAGAGAGATTGAGAAATAAAACAAATCGATTTTTCAACAGAGAGAAAAATACATATATGGTATAATCATAAATACAACCCTATGATATGTTTGAAATGGTGTCACTGAAAAATTCTTTTGACTAGGTGAGCTGTAATATGCACATCCACTTGTTAGGTGTTTTTAAGTTGAGGGGATTACAGTATCATTGTATCAATGTTGGAAACTGTTTTTGGTGCTTGTAATTCTGCTCAAGACTTGCATAGAGCTTCACTTTTGATTTGTGTACAGGGATCTCTGTAATAGAGCATCTATTTACTAGAATGGTCTCTATTTCCACACACTAATATGAGGTGGAGCAGGTGTTTGCTAAATCATTTTCTGGGACTAATTCATGCTCTTAACTGTTACAGGTGCTAGATGTGTCGCTACTTTACTGCATGAGATGAAGCGCCGTGGTAGGGACTGTCGCTTCGGTGTGGTGTCAATGTGCATAGGTATTCGTCCTCTCCTCTTCGACTTCACTCTCTTCATCTCTATGTGTGTGTGTGGAGTGTTGCTGGAACATATGTTTGTGGCTAACTGTAGTCACTGAATGCAGGCACTGGAATGGGAGCTGCTGCTGTTTTTGAAAGAGGGGATGGTTGTGATGAGCTCTGCAATGGTCGGAAAGTCGAAAGCAACAATCTCTTGTCCAAGGATTCACGATAGATGCAGGGGATACAAGATTGATGTGCGTGATGGGCATATTGCAGAAGCCTTCAATAATGCCAGCTTCGAGTTATTTTATCGTTGATAATAAGTGTAATAAGGTGGTTTCTACATTCATTCAAACAGAACTAGAATGCAAAGGCAGACATATTTTCATGTAATGAAGTATCCCTCATTATACTCGGCTCTTTTTTTCTCTGTTTTTTTTTTCTTTTCAAATGAATCTATGTATTCAAACGTGGCACCTTCTTTTGTCAGCTGCACCACTCTTACTGTAGTGACCAGCAAATTCTCTTCCCTATTAAACGAGACCCCAAAACTTGAGTTCGGGGTTAACACGGTGGGGTAAACTACAGTTTTAGGTTTTACCCCGCGGGTTGGAACTTGGAACAGACGCACATACCTTGTCTCAGACAGATCCAGTAAAGCATATTTAAATTCGTCAGGAAGTGCCCCGACTCCGAGTTTCTCGGGTTAGCTGGAGAGATGAACGATGATGGCAGCGGTGTTAAAGGCGCATGCCTTGGGTCGCTGTACTACACAGATCTACCATCCCAAGTTACTCATCCGACTTAGCATGCCATGTAAGAGCGAACTACACAGATCTACCATCCCAAGATACTCATCCGACTTAGCATGCCATGTAAGAGCGACGGTGAAATTGCAGGGGTCAAAAGTGTTGATTGTTGCCTACCCTTCAGGATGTCGTCGTAACTAGCCCTACTCTTTCTATCCGGACATGATTGTAGAACCACATAAGATAAGAACTTCTTTCTGCCGATTCACAGGAAACTGGCTAGGCCAATGGTGATACAATAAGTGGGAAAAAAATCAATCTGCCAACTTCCAAGTCCTCGCTCGATGGCATTAAATTTCCTGCATAATGGTCTATGTAACGAAGTTCTTCCTTGCTCGGATTTTGGACAGGCCGTCCACACGCCAACCAGTAGGTCCACGACGTTCAGTCTTATCCTTGAACTGGAACTTAAGACGATGAAGTCGATTCAAATCTATTAACAGTATCTCAAGAGCATGGCCGAGTACTGCCTAATGTTAATAAAAACATTTTAAATCCCTCGTTTTTTCACTATTTTGTTACAATTGTTTTTTCTTGTCGATCAGGAGTTAAACTGGATCCAATTACTAAAGGAGGAAACCCAGATAATACAAGCAGAGGGACACAGAAAATAAAAAAATAAAAAAGAAAGAAAACCCTAATGGTCCTGATATTAGGCCTAAAACTTTTGCCGTTTTCAATGCAGACCAACGATTTCAGCTAAGGTGAACCTAGACTGTAGAATACTTATCTCGAACCGTTTATTTGACTTGCGATAAATGGTATCGGTTGTTCTTATTAATGTACAACGGTGCAGCTTTGTGAAATTTTTTGGAAAACCTCAATTTTGTCAATTAAGTAGCAAACATTTACTACATTTCTTGAGTGGGTTATTTTTTCAATTTCTATTACTATTTCAAGTCTCAAGTGCGTTTTTATATGCAGTAAAACAACTCGATTTGGATATAAAGATTTAAGTGCAATGTTTTCTTTAAAAAACACAAGGATCACATTAATAAAATTTATAGTGTTGGGATTGAATGGAGTATGAGTATATGAATAAATATATGGACTAAACTATACATAGTTTACCTGAAATAGCGAAGAAAATAGAGAATAGCTGATAGGCACTGCTAGTAGTTCAGTATTCTTGAAAAAGGAATGCAGCTCCCGAATGCATAGTGGCTTTAATGGATTAGAGTATAGTGTAATTTTGCATTTTTCCTTGTGTTCTAACATTAACATATTTCTGCACAACCTCTTTTTTTTGAAAAACCGGGCGGTCATGTCCTTTCACGATCATCAGACCTTACTGCATTTTCAAGTCCTCTTCATTTTTTCAAAGCGATGATTGTTACCCATATGCTTTTTCTTGTTTTAGAGGGAAAGAGAGAAAATGGAGAAAGCAATTAACAGGCAACGTGTTCTTCTTGATCACCTTCGTTCTTCTAACAATTATGAATCCTCTCTTTCTGTAAGTTTAATTTCTTCTTGATCACCTTCGTTCTTCTAACAATTATGAATCCTCTCTTTCTGTAAGTTTAATTTTTTCTATCGATATTCGATTTTATTTGACTTTGGATTAGGTTTTTTAGCTGATAATCTGACTGTTTTCAATTTGGTTGGCTATTATAACTATTTTCCTTTTAGTATAATCTTAGCTGCTACCTGCTTGTGCTAATTAGATCATGAAAGTTGAAGAATCGATATGTAATTTTGAAATTTATGAAATCTGTTGCTTATAAATACATATATATAATTGATAAATAGTTTGTGGTTATTTTTTTTTTCTTAACATTTTAGAAATCTATTGTTGTATTTGGCCTCGTTTCTTTTCTTCTTTTATTATTGTATTCTGATGGCTTCACGTCTTAATAAAAATTGGAATCTGATTATTTGTGAAATCAGGCATCTGGTTGTTTAGCTAGAGATAGGGCGGCATGCGCAGATGATGTTGTGATTGTGGCGTAAGTAGTAGTTGAAATGGTATTTGTAAAATGTTTATTACGTTGTACCAGTAATGCATGGTTTAGGTAGATTATGAGCTTGATTTTTAAAGCATTTTGTTTGTATTTTTTGCGGTTATATAGAGCTTATCGAACTCCGATATGCAAATCAAAGCGTGGTGGTTTCAAGGATACTCCTGCTGATGATTTACTTGCACCTGTGTTGAAGGTTTTTTTTTTTTCTTTTTTTGCTTATGGTTAGGAATTATGATTATATGTTTTTGAGAAGTCAGAATAATAAGACTTGTGGATATATGTTGTTTGTGAATATTTGGTTTGTGTAGGCATTGATAGAGAAAACTAATCTAGACCCAAAAGAAGTTGGGGATATTGTTGTGGGTTCGACATTGGCACCAGGATCTCAAAGAGCAAGTGAATGCAGGATGGCTGCCTTCTATGCTGGTTTCCCAGGCATGCATTTAAATTGCTTCTTTGGAGGGGTATTGGTTGTGTTACTGCTTTAATGATTACTTGATTGGATTTTGATTCTGGTCCAGAAACTGTGCCGATAAGGATTGTCAACAGGAAATGTTCGTCTGGGCTTCAGGCAGTTGTTGATGTGGCTGCTTCTATCAAAGCAGGATTCTATGAAATTGGTAAGAGAAATGCTCTGAGCTGCCTTTGACATAATGTATAAACATGATGTCACTTTAATTACTGGGCTTTACATTTTTTTATCTTTTTGTTGTAGGCATTGGAGCTGGGTTGGAATCCATGACAGTTAATTCAAGGGCATGGGTTGGAGATGTGAACCCAAAGGTATCTTTGTTCTTCTCTTCATTTAGCTTGTTTCAGAAGGTTTGTTGGTGATTTTTTTTTTTTTTGGTTACTTACTGATCTGGATTGGATTCTTATGGATATGTTGATTATGGCAGGTAAAGAACTTTCTGAAAGCTCAAGATTGCCTTCTACCCATGGGTGTTACTTCAGAGAATGTTGCACATTATTTCGGTGTGACAAGGCAGGAGCAGGATCAGGCTGCAGTAAGTGCAATGAATCTACTTTGCAGTTTACTGCAACATGATTTGTTGTATTAATTTTTTTTATATTGTTGTTGTTAGGTTGATTCTCATAGGAAGATTGTTAAACTGTTGTTGTTAGGTTGATTCTCATAGGAAGATTGTTAAACTGTTGTTGTTAGGTTGATTCTCATAGGAAGGCTGCTGCTGCTACAGCTTCTGGCAGATTCAATGATGAAATCATCTCTGTTGCTACAAAGGTATATTTTAGTTGAATATTTGTATCCACTAACACTTCCATGTTTGTCATTGTTGGCTTAAGAGTTGATTTATGTTAATTTTTTTCTGTTTGAAGATTGTTGACCCTAAAACTGGGCATGAGAAGCCCATAATGGTTTCTGTTGACGATGGGATTCGCCCAAACACATCATTAGCAGACCTGGGAAGACTAAAGGCTGTGTTTAAGGAAGATGGGACCACCACTGCTGGTATACAACATGTGTGCTTTTTTTTTTTTTTTTAATATGTTGGTCATTTTTATATACTTCGATCAATTTGATCATGTGGTGGTTCTTCTTCAGGGAATTCTAGCCAAGTCAGTGATGGTGCTGGGGCTGTGTTGCTCATGAAAAGAAGTGTTGCAATGTGCAAAGGGTTACCTATCCTTGGTATATTCAGGTATTACTTATTGTTTATTTCCATCATAATGTGCAATGAGTTCAAGGTATACGACCTCATTCAGGGCTCTCCTGCCAGCTCATTTGTTTTGTAGTTTAGGAAGATGGCCCTCTGTAATCTTATTTTGCTTGAGACAAGAAATGTTTAAATGGTACTTGCCATCTATTTTGTCAGTTTTCATTTATAACAATAAATGATGAGAATAAGTTAAGGAAATCTCTTCCTCATTTTTCCCATATAAAATTAGTTTGGCCGTGTAGGACATTTGCTGTTGTTGGTGTGGATCCTGCCATCATGGGCATTGGCCCGGCTGTTGCAATCCCAGCTGCAGTGAAGGCTGCTGGTCTAGAACTTCAGGATATTGATCTTTTTGAGATAAATGAGGTAAAAAGAAAATGAATTTTCTTTAGTTATATTTCTACCAGAATCAAACTCTTTCCAGTTCTGACTAAATTTTGTTGTTCTTCGTCCAGGCATTTGCTTCCCAGTTTGCATATTGCTGTAAGAAGCTGGAGCTAGATCCACAGAAGATCAATGTCAATGGGGGTGCAATAGCCATTGGACATCCTCTGGGTGCAACAGGTATTTCCTATCTTTATTAAGCTAACAGGCATGGAATAGTTTATAGATTGGAGGCACTTTTGGGGATTTATTGGCATTCCACTTTGAATTTCTTTAACTTTGCCGGAAGCTATGATTTATTCAAAATGGGACAGGAAACTGAAAAATTCTTTCGACTAGTTGATCTATAATATGCTCAGCACTTGAACACTTCACGAGAATACATTATGCATGTAATTTGCCCAATACTTGTAATATAAACCATCACTTTTGATTTAAGGCGATCTTTGTAATAGAGCATCTATATTATCTTTAATTTTACACGTGAATATGAGGTGAATTAGTTGTTAATTTGTTAATCATTTGATCTGAGACTAATTCATGCCTTTAACTGTTACAGGTGCTAGATGTGTGGCTACTTTACTACATGAGATGAAGCGCCGTGGTAGGAAATGTCGCCTCGGGATGGTGTCAATGTGCGTAGGTATTCTTCCTCCCCTCTATCTCTTGGTATGTTCGGAGTACGGCTGGAGCATATGCATGTTACTAACTGTTGTGACTAAATGCAGGCTCAGGAATGGGAGCTGCTGCTGTTTTTGAAAGGGGAGATGCATGATGAGCTTTGCAGATCGCAATGTTTGGGAAAGTCGATAGCAACAATCTCTTATCGAAGGATTCATGACAGATGCAAGTCATGGACGCATATATATTGCAGAAACTTCCAATAGTACAGTCTGGAGGTATTTTATTATTGATAATAAAAGAGTAATAAGGTGGGTAATTGTATTCATTTAGACAAAACTAGAATGCAGAACCTACATTTTGATATTTTCATGTAATGAGTATACACATTATACACTGTTGGGAAAGCACCTCTTTTTGTCAAGTCTACCTTGTCGTCCATTACTATAGAGACGCAAATTCTCTTCCCCGTTAAACGAGACCCCAAAATGTTGGAGAAATTTAATATGCGGTTTGGAACAGATATGCTCATAACTAATAATATAGATGTTTGAACTTATCAATAAGTGCACCAAATTGCTTGTGTTAGCTACAGAAACGATAAAGGGAGAGTCAAAGGCCGATGCCTTGGATAACCAGCCACGGTCCCGCCGATCATTTATTTGCAGGGGCAAAAGAATTGCAGGAGTCGGCGTGTTGCGCTTCAGGGTGTAGACGTATCTTAGCCAATTCAGAGACGAAATCCTTTCTGCTGACTCAAGTTCAGGAAACGGGCTAGGGTGGGAAAGCGAAGATCTGTCTTCCAAGTTTTTCTTTAAGCTCTTGCCCAATAGTATTATTCTTTTCATTCAATAGTCAGGTTAAGTTTTCTTCCAGCGCTTGCCCAGTAATATTATTGTTTCACTCAATAGTCAGGTTAACGAGCTCGGAAGTCTTTGTACTGCCCGGTAACATTACTTTTTCTCTCAATAGAAGTGTCTGTAATATCAATTTTGTCTCAATGAGATCCTTTATCTTTTAAATTTTTTAATCCAACTCTTATAGTATTAATCCATACATACCATTAATCCCTCAATCACTAGTTAATTACGAAAATCTTCTTTAAAATATGCTATAGTCATAATAAAAAGATCCTTGGGAACTCTCTAGCGTTAATGTGTGCACGCCAATCCTTAACAGCTTCAAAATTAACCCTTGTACTCTTTCTATCTCAAAAAGAAGAAGGTTATTAACTTCTATGCTTTGTTGTAATTTTTGTTCATATTTTTTTAATATATATATATATTAGAATTATATTTGGATAATTTTTTTCAAAATAGACGTTAATAGAAAATATTATAGACAAATACATCTCTTAAAGTTTTAACTAGACAAATTGTAAAACAAATATAAATAGAAAAGTGAATATAGTTTTTGAAACAAAAGGAGTATAAATTTAAGATATTGAATCTATAGTTTCAAATAATTATCATTACGTAACAAAATTGAATTTATCCTTTACTATTCTACTTCATTATAAAAGTTCCATCAAAGTTTCACACAAATAATGACAAATAACTATTATTGTTAAGTATTATTGTCATTTGCCGTTATTTGATATTTAAAATTTTAAATCATTTTTTAAAAAAATAATTAAATCTATTATGCACTTTCATATGCTACCCTACATAAAATCTAATCTTACATCCTTGTCTTATATATATTAAACTATTAAAAGCATTATTAACTTTCTTTCTTTTATAATAAATTCAACTATTATTGTATAATATTAAACTATCAAAAATGTTATTATTATACTTAACCAGTAAAACTCATAAAAATATATGAATCAAAATAAATTTATTACCAAGATTTAATATTTTATTAACATAATAAACTGCACCCTGCGATCGTAACTCGCTATTTAAAACTATGTGCGAGCGTGACCATGGCGTTTGCTTTTCCGCCTCACAGCAATCAAATAGGACAATTTACTTTTTGATAAAGAGGGAAAAAAGACACGAGTCGAGAGACTCGAGACAGAGAGATTCAATCGCCCTTCCCTCTTGAGTCTTTTGCCGACCCTGCCCTAGATTATAGCGGTCCCAGTAAAATATTAAATAGAAAATAAATCTATAAAGCTTGCTTCAAAGGAGGAAGAAATGCTTAGAAAAATTTTGTTCAATGCAGCGTAAAACAGCATGGCAAGCATTCAAAAGTAATAGTAAGATTTAAGCATTTACACATCAGCATTCTGATACATGCCGCTCACCATGGATGATCAAAAGCATGCTATTCCATGCAGCATTTCTCCCAAACAAAAGGGAAGTTGATTTCACAGATCAATGGACAACGGCTGTCAGTTCATTGATGCTCCAGATAATCTTCTCAAATGGTCAGACAGCAGGATGCTATTTCCCTTTGCGTCAACTTCACTAAAAATTTGGTCAAGAATTCCACTCCTGAATTTCAAGGCTTTGGTTCAGTTCAACCCCAATCTACAAGCTAGTCCAACAGGCAACCACAATTCAATTTCAAAATTACAGAAGGAAGCCTCCCTAACACCAACTATATTAAAACTCTTACTGACGCCCCAGCATATCAACTAACGATCTAATATAAACTAAAGATGAAAAGGAAGAATGACAGGCTTTCTCCAGAATTCAAGGGCAAAAATTTATTTTAGGAAATCAAAAACAGACATATATCATGATTACCTTTCAAAGGTCAATTGCAAATCAACCCAAACTGGGGACTCTTCATAATTGAAGCACTAAAATCCAATGGTGCAAAATTAACAAGTTGTAGACGACTTGCAAATCGGGCATGATGTTTTTCTGCTGAGCCATGGATCAATACACTGCACAAAAGAAATGAAATAAAGCAATCAAATGCTTATGGTTTATGATAAAACATACAGCAAAATGCTTCTTAAGTTGTAAAAAACGAAATTCCTACTTCTTTGTGAAATTTGTGTAAACAAGGGAGGTGACGTATTTTTTCTCCAATAACTGGGGCTTCAAGACAAACAGCACAGGTCTCTTCAAAGTTGTCAGTCTGCAAGATGCATAGCAGAAGACAAAAAAGATGAGCAAATAAATATGCAGAAAATACTACCTGGTGCAATCTAAATGCTTTCTTGATGAGAAGCACGCATGACATGAATATGTACTTGGATGCGGATATTTCAACATACCTGAACTACGGACTCAGGCAAACTGTTAATTTGACTGGCAGATGCACCATGTCGAGAAACGTTATCATCAAGGGCCAACAACATTTCATAATCATTTCTGCCAAAAAAAAAAACAAAACAGAGAGAGTAAAATAAGAACTATAATTTAGATTTTATACCTCAATTTCAGTATGTATGTAAACCCACAAAGAAAATTTCACTAAAAAAGCTACCACCGAGGAGAGAAGGGAAAGGGAAAGGAAATGCAGAAAAAGTATGTAGCAATGAACATTAATCAAAGAGAGCATGATAAAATAGCAGATTTCGGATCTACAACACTATCAAATAATATAATGGAGAAAAACGTGATAAATGGGGAAACAATTTAGAGGATTAACTTTGCAATCGCCACAGTAAAACTCTCAAAAACTTGTGCTGTCAAGGGGGGTGAAATTTCAAATACAGTACAATTATCGACAGAATCCCAAAGTCGACACACCCAAACCCATTTAAACCAAAAAAGACATGACGTGATTCATTAAAAAAAAATTAATTATTAAACATTTTGAGTTAAAATAAACATATTTAGACAATTGCCATTCAAAAAGACTTTACATGATAGCAACATGACTGCCGTACAAATTCAAATTGCCAGCCCAAGTTGTCAAACATATTCCAGAACATACCAAGCATCATCAAACAAACTAGTTGCTTCCCAGAATTCAATGTTTCTTTACATTGTTGTAAACCTGAAAAAATTAGCATAGAATGGTGGCACTTATCGAACACCACCCATCCATACACTAAATATACAGTTGAACCCAGGCCTCATAATTCATGACTGAAACATCACCAAAAAAAACTCAAACAAAAAGCGTGTTTTCTCTAAATCCTAACTTTGTCAGATGCACTCGAAATTCACGCAAGGATTTAAAACCACCGAGGAAGGTTAGAAAAAAGAAAAAGAAAAATGCTCAACAGTTAAAGCCACTCCAAGCGATCAATAGTTTCCATGAAGATATATCAGAACTAGACATATAGTCAAGCTGCATACTACTACATAGTACATAGTGTCACTTACCCACCTAACTACCAAACTATTTTTCACAAAGTAACTAATTTCCTAACCATGCATGCTTAATCACTTTAAGAATATAAAGAGAGCAACTGCTCTATGTGCACACACACTCATAGGTAGCAAGGCAATGATATGTCCAATTCCAAATAATAATTAAGGAATTTATGAAAAAGAGAGCTTATGACAGTGACATTCTTGAAACTCGAATTAATAATTTTCACACATAGATATCAACAACGAAGCAAGTAAATCAATACTGGGACTACTTAGGAGAACCACAGCTTATACTAACAAGCTATTCAAATAACATTAACTGCTTGAAGGCATCTATGAAATTTGCTGACACCACAAGCAATTGTCAATTTGTTATTGGGTTTTAGGTTGAAAGGAAATTATCAGAATCACATGTTAGCCGTAGTCTCACTCACATCAAGAAGTTCAAAAGACTGACAGGATTCAAATCAGCTCTCATCTATGGTCCGATCTTTCAAGCATTCAGAAACCACACATAACGAGACCTCAGCAACAGCATGCTTACTGAACTTACGTTTTCAAAGTTGAATTTTTCAGCTCAAGGAGTGAGAGTATCAAATGGGTTTTCATCCAACCAGATTATAAATATATATGATGTACTGTTTATTGCCAAAAAATGCAGACCCACTGATAGCTGCTAACTCTTTTAAGCTGAAGAGGTATGAAGTACAGGGCATAAAAGGGTTCTCCAAATGCTTAAACACAATAATATGAAATAAATCAGTGAGCAGAGAACACAACTTTGCAAACAGAAAAACATCTTACTCATTAAAATCACGCTGAACTTGAAGCATGTGACTAGCTGTCATTGAAGCCTCTAAATTTTCCAATATATTAAGTCTCTGCATTGAGAAGCAAGAAATCAATTTGTTAAATTACCACTGCATGCACACATGCCTACCATCCAAACAATGAAATTTCTGGTGACAATTAAAAAGCATGGAGAGAGTTGCATGAACAACAAACCAACTGCTATGCAGAAAAAAATAAATTGTCCAACTCTCTCTCATACAACAACCACAAGAAAGATCGTAATTATCTGGCAAACAAAAGAAAAGAAATGCATGACTAAATAATAACTTGAGATACGTTCTCATCCAAAACTAATGCTGTAATAACTCCTGAATCAATGCAGGTATTCCTAAAGAATAGAAGAGCAGCAATTGACAGGATTTATTTGCCTAAGGATTAGGGTCGTTGTTACTACCAATTGCAGTTCAAGAACAACCTTGAAATTTCTTTTTGCAGGTGAATGAATATGGTTAAAACTTTGAAGATTTGTATGCAGCCCATGGGCGCCCAGACGATATTTTCTTCATATTCCCTTTACCATTCTCATCAATTTATTATTTCTTTGAAGATTTGTGTGCAGCCCATGGGTGCCCAAACGATATTTTCTTAATATTTTCTTTACCATTCTCATTAATTTATTATTTCTTTCTTCTTCTTTCTGCTAGATTCTTTGCTTACTGCTAATTAACTAAATTAAATCACATTAGAATAAATAACCAAGTCAGTCCCCAAAATCCCAATTCTTAATACCAAACCATTTTTCAACAAACACCCATTCTCCTCTAAATTAATCTAATGGCATCCTGACAATTTTCGCCTTGTCGTCAATCATAGAACAATGCTCTCCTGCCCCTGCATCATGGTATCAAATGCAAGGATGATGATAGAAGCATGCAATGTAACCAAGTGCTAATGCTGGTAGTGGGTGTGGTTTTACTATGACTTTCTGTTTATTATCAAAGACAATCATTTGTAGAAGTACTGATTCCTGAAAAAGATCATACTATCATTACAAACTCTGGGCCTACTAGTCAAGGTACTAGCATGTAAGATTTTAACCATGGTTCTGTTTACAAGGTTGTGAGTGGTTTTGGTCTCTTAAGAGATGCTGGTTCCTTCTCTCAGAATGCTCTGAAATCAAGGCCATCAGATTTCGATGAGGCCTTGTGAAAAATGAGGTGATTGATGATGCTAGAAGGAGAGTGTGGTCAAATTGCATATGGAAAAGGCTCATGATCATCCTGGTGCTTTCTTTGACAATGTGACCAATAAGGTTTTTGTTCTAAGTAGAGAAATTGAATTAAGTATGTTCATCTTATGTTGTTTTTTTCTCAAAGTTAGAATGCATATGACCTCCAGACATTCATATAAAAATGTATAATCAGACGAGTAAACAACATAGAGTCAGTCACGATCCTCGTACAATCAAAATTGAAATTCATCACATATGACGGCAACGGCATGCAGCGACAGAGGTAGGAGATTTTCGCAGGGGTGTCCAAGCAAAGGGAGTTTTTTATTCAATAGGGGCATCATGAAGCAGCCATGGCCTTCAACCTTGGCCTCAGATAGATAGCATTCAATGGTAAAAACTGTAGAAGGGAGAATAATAATAAGCCAAAAATGAAGGACAAAATATAAGGGAAAAACATACCATATCTAAATCCATTCCCGAAGGAAATTGGAAATTCAGCCCTCCAGGGAATGCTGCTGGAACGGGGTTCCTCCCTCTTGATATTCTTACAGGAGTCCGGTTGAGCAAGCGATTTCTCAAGGCGGATGTTCTGGTTGTATTAACTTGAGCCTGGGTTCCTCTCCTGTTCGAAAGGTTCTGAGAGGACCGTGGCAGTCGCTGTCTTGATGGATGCACTATTGATGAGTTTCTCTACATAAAATGAAAAACAAATGAAGTTATAGGCAACTAATAGTACAAATCTAAGCAAGCCCAAGCAGTTTGGCTGGAGGAGAAAAAAATGAGGAAGGAACAAAGGAAATCAAAAGAAAGCATCGCAACCACCTGATTAAGAACATTAAGCAGACACTAGTGGATATAAGCATGGACAGTAGGAAGTTCAGGCAAGGTAGCATATGCTTCAAATTGTGTGCACTGTATAATTTACACATATGTTAAAGTTAGCAAACTTCGATGCAGTTTATTAAGACAATTTTACCCATCCCATACCTCCATCAGTTTATTAAGTAGTAACATACACTCCTCAAAAGTTCTGGCATTTAAGGTATTCCATCTGAATTAGAGAAAACAAAGTTGAATTTAAGATCCTACTTGAAGGGCGAAAGATGTGTGCCTTCAACCATTGAACCCAATAGCCAGATCCTCAGGATAAGAACAGACAGAACCATTGTTATAGTTAACTTTTGCTCATTTAATGGTAGTTACCCACTCCCTTTTTTTATCATCCAAAATATGAGCTTGAATTCTTCATATTAATCATTTCTTTTTCATTCAACTGTGAGCTTTAATTTCTTACATATCCTAGTCCAACTTTCAAGGTTGCCTAATTTTACAAATCATTTTCTGAATCTGCATACCAAGCAAGGAATGGACTTTGAAGTTCAATTTTACCCAACTAATAGGGAAGTATAAGATAATACCCATATGTGCACATGCATGTACCAGCTTTCAAAGATAGAGAAGGAGTGAGACAGAGAGAAGGACAACAAATGTCTTGTAAGTTCACCAAATAAAATTGGTACTAAAGGAAACAAATTTATTGCCAACCCTTACTTCTTTTCCCAGCATAACCCCATCAGCTCATAAAAAGCATTCTTCTATACCTTTCAAAAGCTAAAGAAAAGAAGTCCAAATATCTGGAAGAGACTCATAAACAAACCTAGCTCGACTCAAATGTCCAACCAAGAAAGAACCAAGCAATAGAATAGTGGCAACACGACACATGCACATGAACACACTCATATAATATGTGATCAAATTGTATATCTTCCGCATTTCGGCTTTAATCCATCACTTATAATGAGGTAAGATCGCAAAAATATCTTCATTACAATCAAGGCCCAAGAGATTGCCATGAGTCCTGTCCTTGTAGCAGACTGTCTCATTGATTTCTAGTGATGTTGTGATAAAATAGGGGAAGAATTAACAAGACAAATTAAGTTCAATACCAACATTATGAGACGTCCATAAGTTCAAAACCAGCCTACTTCTACAACTCCAAAGAAACTTCAATCTCAACTTGCCTTTCCTTTCTGCTTTTTTTTTTTTTGGTTGCCTTTGGATAGGAACTCCCATCATCACAAACTTGAAAGATAACCAACATAAATTTTATGCGGTAATGAAAGAAGTATCAACATTTACCTAACCCAGCCACTCATAAAAGAAACTATAAACAACATAAGGGAGGAATTAAAATAGAAGTTGCAGAACTATTCCTTGAGATTTTAAAAATAATGCTGGCCCTGGGTTCCTAAATTTGCTTGAACAAGAATACCCCAGCTATAGTTTTTCTTATTTCTTAAAAAAAAAACTTTAAGTGATGCAAAAATTATGGTCATAGATATGCATGAGATGCAATCATTGTTATCAATAACAAAGTATAGATACTATTTTGATGAGCATTTACTTGTGCTTTCATGTTTAGCAATTGAGTGAAATTATAGAAGCACGCTTACAAGATGTGGTGCAGGATGAATTTGACCAGATGCTGCAGAGAGCGCATCATCCTCCTGCTGCAGTGCCCGTGCTATACTTTCATCCATCTGTTAAAAAGTCAATAAACATGAAAAGCTGACAAATGGAGTTTCTAGCTAATTAGGTGACATTGAGGAGGGAAAGCTGGAATACAATCAAAGAGAACAAACCTCGCCTCCTCCAAATATTGGTTCCTCGTGATATAATCGTTCCTGCAGTTCACGAGCCAACATCTCATCGGCTTCAACTTGTCTTGCCCTAACATCCGAGTCGTCATTACTCCTGGAACCTATAACTAGAGGGTCATTGTTTCTCATTTCAGTTGACAACTCATCAATTTCATAAATTGGTTCTAGATTGCCCTCATGTTGATGATTGTGAACTCTAGATGATCTTGAGCTAGATGATTCCTGAGATGAACCAAGAAACAAAATTTTTGAGTCATCAGGAACCATTGTAGGGCATTCACCTTGATTTCTTGAAGTTAATCCATGAGTCCTCCTCCTTTTAGCAACTACATTCCCAACATGATGTAGTTTGCTGCCGCTGCCATTATCTCCTTCCACCAATCTGTCATCATGCTGTTTGTTTGTAAAGCATCTAACATCATCATCTCTTCCCAAAATATGCTGATCCATATAGGACAATGGTTGATCTTTTGTCTTCGATCTTTTGTGTGTACTTGTCCAACCACCCAATAATCCATCTCTACGGTCATCCCTGGTTTCACTAGATGCTTCATTATTAATCACAGAAGTTCTGCATACACATAATATGCTGTGAGGCTGAGCATAGAGTACCCAGAAGAAACCACAAGGAGAGGAATTGGAGTCCAACTAATTAATTATACAAAGAGATGTAAGGATTAAACAGAAACATTTGAACTAAAAAAAGGAAAAGAAACCAATATCAGAAACTTAACCAGCAGATAATTCTAAAACACTTGAGTAAAGGTCAAGCTCAATATACGATCCCACTGAATCCTGGGAGGGAGAGTTTTAGGAAAATCCTATTCTTCAGTATTTTTGCATGAAGTGGCAGCTTCCAATGATCAAAATTGCAAACTCAAAGACTTTAAAATTGCACCAAACAACAGCACCTTTCTCTAACAGCTATGTAATTGTCAGATTTCAAATGACAGTTTTATATCATTGCAAAACTAATATAGCTCATTCCTAAACAAACAAATAAATAGAGCATCTGTTTCATGAAAGGGGAATAAAGGCAATCTGACCAGAAAAAGAGAGATGAAATTACCTGGTAGACATATTAGATATGTTGGCATCATGCTCCTTTGATGTAGAAGGATGGACAGCCCATTTTCCTTTAGCTCTATAACAACCATGCTCTTCAGCAACTATTCCCCTAAGATCCGTGTTAGATGGACCATCAGACAACTTGTTCCTGGCATGGTGTTTTTCATCACCTGTGGAGCCATCCTGGGGACTTTCAGCTATTTTTTGGGCCCTGGTGGCTATATTATGGGGAGAAATACAACCATTTCGCACTAATCTCTTTTGCCCAGCAACTCTTGGTGAGGAAACAGATAGATGACATACAGGAAGTTGCTTTTCAATTTTATGTCGATAACCACTAGAAGGATCAATTCCTTTCACAATATTTGAATCTGAACCAGAACCATTACATGTATTCAAATCTATTTTCTCCTTCCCCTTAGAGGTGCCGCCAGATATCCTTGAAGAACGAGGGGCCAACTGTAAAGAAGAACCACCATTAGATGATATTCGATCTTCTCTTGTCTCTTTAACTTGGAGATCTTTTGATGCACCACATGGAAAAACGATGTCGAGTATTCTGTCAGGCTCACTCGTCTCTGTTAAATCTAAAAAATCATCATTTTCTACGCAGGATGGTTTTTTAGAGGAATTTGTAGCATGACCAGCTTTCCGTTTTTCCGCATGTTGTGCTCCTTTAGACTGCCTATTCTCAGGCTTGGAGTTATTGTCTATTGCTGGCCTTCTAAATAAAGGAGCACTCTGGTGAGGATGACCATTCTCCAAAGGGGAAATACTTTGAGGGCTGTATTCATCAACATTAATGGGACTCCTTTGAAGATGTAAATGAAGTTTTCTATTGAGCCCATTTTCACCAAGCACCCTACTCCTGCTTGCCTGCAGAGGATTCAAACTCTTTTCATCCATAAAACCAGACTTTCTTTGACGACCAAGCATTGAAGAATTACTTTCTTTTCCAAATTGTGCACCATTTATACGCCGTGCAGCTGATCTCTCAGGAGTGTCAGGTATTTCAAATACCTGATCAGAATTCATTTCTTCCATGCTCTATCACCTAAAAGAGACCCAAAAGAAAAATGAAAGAACTCCAGTCCGTCAATGTTAAATCATCAAAGTGGAAATCCCAGTAACAATCGACTGTAACCCAAATACTGAAGCAACAAAGGAACATAGACAAATGCACTTCAAAATAACTAAGTATAGAAATTCAACAATTATGACTAGAATGTGAGGAAAAGTACAAATCCTGACATGTACGAAGTAACATAAGGAATTAGGAATTAGTAGCTGCAGTATCCAACAGAAGCAAAACAGAATCTAGCAAGTTACCAATAGACTTTCCAATTGCCAAACATACGAGCATGTCATGCGAAACTTAAAACACTATCACAAAGGAAACTCCTTTAAATGAGTTTTTACTTTTTAGGGTTTAGAGTTCCCAAATTAGTACATAATGAGATGCAATCATCAAAGCATAAAATGTATAATACTAGTAGTAAGCAAGGAAACTACTCAAACTAGAAAAGAATGATCTAAATAAACTATAACCATAAACGATAAAAGATTCAATTCACTAAATAACAAAAACCCAGATAATATTATTGACTACAAAAGCTATTAACTGACTTATTAGCTATAAATAAATTAAAATAAAAAAATCAAGAACAATACTACACAATAAAAAACCATATATTTGTTATAATCAAAACACACGAGGATTGAATTCAATTTAAAAATACATAAATAAATTCCCAATATATTTTTAATTTAAGAGATAAAAAAATAAATCATTAATCCGAAACCGGAAAAAAGAAGAAGCTAATTTTTAAAAAATAATATATTAAATATGTAGAACGAGAGAGAAAATTCAACAAAAAGAAACGAGTTTTTCATTGAAAAAATCAAACGAGAAAAAATAATTCAAATAATCAAATCAGACAACACAGAATGAGCGATTAATTGAAGACGTGAATTATTATTATTATTATTATTTGAAAATGAGTTTGAAAATTTAAACGAAATAGGCAAATAAAAATTGATTATAAGACCAATCGAAACGATTAATTAATTGATTAATTACCTGATGATGTTAGTAAAAATCGAAAATCGAATCCGCAGCAACAAAATAATTTCCATGCACTCACTGATTCTTCAATCTCCCTGCATTCAGGTTTAGGCTGCTACCAGCAGTATAATGGGCCGATCTTAGGTTAAGTCCAAAATCAATTGAAACCTAAGCACTGACCAGGCCCGAGCCCAACACTTTCCCTTAACCTGCCAACACCAAAAGTGAGTTACTCACTTACTCCTCTAGTTGGATTACTAGAAAGAAATGTCCCTTTATATTTCAGATTTTTTAATGTGGTTTCTTTACTCTTTTTTCACTTATCACATCCTTCTCCTGTTCAAATTGTCCTAATATGGTCTACTGCGATGGTTTTCCGACCAATTTTCCTGTTAAAAATGACATGTCAAATTTATTTGTCATGCAAAAAAAAACAAAAAAAACAAAAAAAAAAACTTTTCTCCTTCAAATTGCTTTGGGTTAGAGACTAAACTATAAACTTGCCATCGCCAACCTCCATCTCTTCTCTAGCATTACTTTGTTAGAAAAATTTATATAATCTTTCGCTCATCTTGTCACATAACTCAATCTTCGTTTTTATCGTCATTTCATTGATTTTTCAAACCAAATAAATAAAACATAATTCATATCTACATCTCTAAAATCCAATACATCTCATGCCACTGAACTCAAAAATAAAAGAGAAATAAAGCTTGAAAGAAAGATGAATCGGGTAAAAATGGATTTTTGAAACAAGAACTACACGATATGTGAATATCAAATTGCATCAAAATCTCAAGAATAACAAACCCATTTCGAATTGATCTCACGTAATCAGCTTCAAGGGTTTTTTTATGCAATTTGATACTTACTTGCTGCGTAGATCTTGCTTCATAAATAATTTTTTTACCCTTTTTGTTTCTTTTTAAACTACAATGCTCTTTTATTTTATTTTATTTTATTTTATTTTTAGTTTAATGACATGAGATTATTTTGGGTTTTAAAGGTGTAAATATAAATTATGTTTTATTGTTCTAATTACATGAGAAATTATGAGGAAAATTGAGGCTAAGTATTTCCAGCAAGGTAATCTCAGAGAAAGAGATGAAGGTTGAAGAACCCAGAACAATTTGAAGGAGACAAATGTTTTTTTTTTTTTTTTTTTGCATGACAAATAAACATGACATGTTATGGCACATGATATTTTTCACTACATGTAACTTTTGATAAAAACAAATAGCCAAAAACCCATCAGAAGAGTCACATTAAAGAGGAGAGGGGTGTCATCCAAAAAAAGATAGTAGAAAAGCTACATTAAAAAATATAAAGAAAATATGGACTTTTCTTACTATCAATCCCCTAGTAGTTTGATAAAACTAATAAATTAGTTCTTGTAGTTTTATGTTTTCAAATCTGCCGTAACTTAATCCCTTTTTAATTTCTTTTTTGTTTTCCATGTTCTTTTATTTTTTTGGAAAATAAGAAGAAAAAACAGTAAGTAGGTGAGATTATAAAATTTTATTTGGAAACAAGATGTTTCTATAAAGTACTGTATAGGTACAATTCAAAGCATTCTTCATTGATCTATTCATCTTTGCTCGCAAGTCAATAATTGCGTGGTAAAGGTTAAAAAGGGTCAAAGTAAACTGGTATAAATTGATTCAGAGATTTTACATATTTTTCATATTCAATTTTATATGCTAGTTAACCATATGAGATAAACTATTTACAAAAAAAAAAAAAAAAAAAAAAAAAAAAAACGGCCAATTAAAAAAAAGAAAGATAACTAATCATGTTTGCGAGTTTTGTAATAATATAATTAAATATTGAAATTATCTCGTTTTCTCTTATGCGGTCATTAAAGAAGTGTGGAGGCAAGTTCGACTATAATTAAGATTAAAGGTGATCATTCAATTTTTTGGTTTGGTTTCGATTTTTATTATTATTATTATTATTAATTGAACTGACTAGAAACAAAATCGAAACCAACTCGAATTGAGATTCGATTTTTTAGTAAAAAACCAATTTTTTCAGTTTGATTTTTTTTTTTTTGGTTAAAAGTCGGGTTTGGGATATTTTTTCTTCTAAATTTTGAATTTCTCTTAGACTAAGCTAAAATGCCACTTTTCTACATTTTTTCGGTTTTCAAGGAATGTTAATAACTTGAATTAAAGTTTTAGTAAAAGAAATAATATAAAAATATCACGGCCGAGTCCGGGTGGTCTAATATATAAAAAATTCAGATATAACAGCTCCGATGATGCTCATCCCTAATAATTTGATGTGAAAGAGTTTGTAACCTAATGATAGTGGTCTCTTGCAAGAAGTCATGAGTTTAAATCGTAGTAGAGCCTTGGGTGTGTGTGTGTAAAAAAAATAATTCGGTTTTCGATGAAAATCGAATTTTAAAAAACCCAAACCAAACTAAAATAATTTTGGTTTTCAGTTTCTTTTTTTTTCAAATTTTTTATATAAAATTGAATCGAAATTGCTAATTTGGTTCGAGTTCGATTTGATTTTAATTCAATAATACTTACTCGTAATTAAGATTAATAGGCATGTGGAAGTTTGAAATTGCGAGTTCAATTAGATCATTTAATTTCTTAAAAAGAAAAAAAAAGAGGTTTTTTATGCTGCTGTTAAGATTTGTTCGGTCTTCATTCATTTATTAGAGTTGAAAAGTTAAAAATGACATAAGTCGTAATGAATAAACTGATTTATATTTCTAAATGTTTTACAAGTTGTCAGTTATGAATTTCTAACAGTTAAAGTAACATTTATAATATGTTTTAGTTAGTGATCATCGTCTTCAAGACTTTTTAGCATATTAGCTGTTTCTTTATCAATGAAATTTTCATTTATAAAAAAAAGGGGGACTATATGAATATGTTTCACACTACAAGTACTAATTTAATTAGTTTTGATAAACTACAGGTACTAAGTTATAATTAACTACCTCAATTTCAAAAACCCTAAGCCCTAGTAGACCCCCACAAACAGACAGAAAACAAAAGAAAAGAAAATGGGGGCACCAAACCACATTAGCCGACGAAGTGCTCTCCATCCCCATCATTGAAACAAACTCTTCACTTTTCCTCTCCCACTCCACGCGCCACCATGCAATCCACCTTCATTTCCCCACGCACCACTCCAGTAAATCCCGAAACGCCATTCCCCACGCAACCCCACTTCCCAACCCGCCTTCGTTCCTCTTCGCTTCTCGTCAAAGCTCAATCTGTCGCCGTAGAACCATCACAGGAAACGAGCACAGTAGCACAAAAACTAAACAAGTACAGTTCAAGCATAACCGAGCCCAAATCCCAAGGCGGTTCCCAAGCAATCCTTCATGGGGTTGGTTTATCGGATGATGACATGTCTAAGCCTCAGATAGGTATCTCTTCAGTTTGGTATGAAGGGAATACTTGTAACATGCACTTATTGAAGCTATCAGAGGCTGTTAAGATTGGGGTTCAAGAGGCAGGGATGGTTGGTTTCAGATTTAATACAATTGGTGTTAGTGATGCTATTTCAATGGGGACTAGAGGGATGTGTTATAGCTTGCAAAGTAGAGACTTGATTGCTGATAGTATCGAGACTGTTATGAGTGCTCAATGGTATGATGGCAATATCTCCATCCCTGGCTGTGATAAAAATGTAAGCTTTTCTCATTCTTTTTTCCCCTAAACAAGCAACATTTGGGCCGTTTGGTATGTGGGTTTTGAGTGAAATGCGTGATTTTGGTGTATTTATTGGTTATTGTGTAGTTGCTTGTGGTGATGTTTTTTGTTTTTTTGAAAATTTTTGAACTGAATCAAATTAGCCAATTGTGAACCCAATAATGGCAATACGCAATACTTGTTAATAACAAAACATTCGTTCGACAGTTTAGTAATGTCAGCTTTTATTCCATCTTATTATATTTTCTTTTTGGTATTCAAGGTTTCTGTAAATATCAAACCCCATAACGTTGAAGCTAATA